GTGATAGATTACTTAACTTACTTCACTTTTCAATCAGTATCAGATAATGTATTCAAATTCACTCTGCCACTAACATTTTGAGGGATCTCAAGCATTAAACTATAATAGAGCAACAACGAGCTAAAGTGATTTTGAAATATCTAATATATTGAAGTAACTAAAGTCGAGTACTGAATCACAGTATAATCGTTGAATACATTCTATTTCTCGATTGTGGTATTCTCCTCCCGTATTGTATCACACAATTCCGAAATTAATCACCAACTCATTAAAATAACCCCTAAATTGAGGAAGCTCAGTAATACATTTTTAATGACGGAACGAGTTCACCGAGAATTCAGTTTAAATGAGAAAAATAAGAACGAAATGAAAGGCCACGTTATTCACGCTGCTTTCATGTATGCTGAGGGTTCTTTCAGCGCTTTAAATAACAGTAAGAGTGATGGTTGTGGGGGGGGGGGTGAAGACCCTCGAATAGCGAGCCCTGTTTAACCTGGGCGATCATTAAAAAATGCGCATCCTCGATTGGACGGTAAGACGCCATTGACGGGTGGTCGTTAAAATAAATGAATAATTCTAATACGTCTGACGTCTGACGTAATGAGACCTGAGGTAGACGGGGGGGGGGGGGGCAGCAAAAGACTACGTGCACTTTAGATAACGAGCGCCAGGCGACAAGAGCTGTCCGCATACATAATGTATGTGATTAATTAAAATCCACCAGTGTCTTTTCCAGGTTATAACAGAATGCTTTGTGATGGGGTGTTTTAATTGAACAGTAAGATGGAGAGGGTGGTTGAAACATTCTTTGACTCTTGGAAATTTATGTGGAGATTTTTTACAGGATTCTCGTTTATTTTTTTCTTATTGAATGAACAGAATTTTTCACTATGTCAGAATCGGAATCAGGAGTTTAGAGTCAAAATTAACAGAACAAAATTCACTAATACAAAATATAAAACAACATAAGACTAGATAAAATAAAGATACAGTATAAACTTCAAGAGATTGTTTACCTAGATGTACATTAATATCCGTCCCAGATCAGATCATGCTATTTTATACGCTTAGGTATTAAAGATGACTTCTGTGACCCATAGACTTGATTTTTATTGAGAAATTCAAGTTATGACTCACAATTTTAAAGGTATAGAAGAGTTATTTATATTTTGGACACTTATTCGTTCATAATATTTTAATGCAAACGCATTTATGAATTATAATTTTATACATAGATCAAAATGCAAACTAGGATAGTCGATTAGCTGAACTAATATATACATGTCATACATGCATTCTTTTTTCTACCCTATTAATTGATTGCGATAAAAAAACTAATTCAGATAAATAGCATAACCACAAGTTCTTAACAGTGTAATGGTCTTCCTACTCAATTAATCCGCTACAAAGCAGAGAAAGCTAGGACGACGTTCATGCTGATGCTGATAACGATTTTATATTTACAAATACAGTGTTTGACCAAAATCTTGAAATGTTACTAAAACCATTCATTTAACAAATAAAAATCTTGTAATCTTTACAACTGATATGCATAGTGTTTTGATTAACTCTTGTGACAACTTTGAGAATACTTGTTCTTGTGAACCCACAGGAAAAAAATTCTTTAAATAAATGCGTTGTTACGATCTTTTACAATTTCAAGACATTTATATTTTTTAACATAAAATCCATCCTTACACCGTATTTGATATATTCAAAAGTGATACTTTCCAACCCCATACTTTCACAAAGGTATACGAAAACATTTTCAATGATATTTATAGCAAAATGTAATAAATCACTCGCTAAACAAAGGATAAACGCAAACAAAATACGACAGAACGACACCACAGATTGTCGGAGGGGTTCTAGATTTGGCGGGAGATAGTTAGTTAGGGGCGGGAGTTTCAATCAGGGTCATTTTGTGCCACTAAATTAGCTACGTGACGATCCTGTTTGTATGCTGAATAGCGTCTAATGATATGATTGGTGCCCCCTCCCCCCTCCCTCTGTGTTACGGTAACTGGGGTGTTATCATTGATAAACAGAGCTGAGCAAGAGGGACAAGAGCAGCAGATTGCCTATTACAGGGCGAGTATGACTAAGTGAGGTGATTTTGGGATTACGTTTAGGTCAGTTTGTTATAATATGCGATTTGTAACAAGTTGACGATTTGTGAAGTTTGATTGAGACTGAAATAATGAAAACTAGGAGGTGGAAAACGGTGTATTTTGAAACATATACGATGGAAGGTAAGATTGATGCAGAAAATATAATCTAGCAATGGATAAACGGGTCTCCAAATCACAAAATGTAACACTCGTAAGCCGCAAACCTATCAACCGCATACTCAATGATAGGTCTCGATGGAAAACTTCCATAAATAGACTATAAGTTTTTTCGATAAATCCTCTCCAAAGGGCATGAACCTCAATTAAAGGGCTGTATGTAATCACATTGAAAAAATTGGTTTGATGTTACATTAATTTGTTTTTCCTACAGTCACCAGACAAAGTTGGCTTCCTTGTACTGTTTATAGTACAGAAAGCTGCTAATTGCTGCATATTTATACTTTGTCGTACGGTTTATACTTTGGCGCACATAAGGATTCCAACGAAACAACACAAAACAGCGTTATTAGGTTGGCAACACTTAAAGATAATAATACTATGAGCAGCTGATTGACTATTATAACTATGATTTAACCTGTCATTTCGTGGTTATAGTTTCGGTATTTCTGAACTTTCTGGACTATTCTTTTAAACGTTTTTAAAACATTCATACGATCTTAATAAACAAGAAAATACCTTTAAAGCATTTTTTTAGGCGCGGAAACCACTTCAAATTACAAAAACATACGGAACTATTTTCTCAAGTCGCGGAGCACATTGCTTGCCGAGGGAAAAATAGCGGAGTGATACGGAGCGGGGACTACTTTCTCTAGGGCACCTATTTGTGATTGCGTTGCCTGCTGAACGTAAAAACGTGTTGTATAGTGTTTGAAAGACTAATTATTTATATGCTTTATAGTGAATGTAGGAAAAATATAATGTGTAACACGAGTGCAAAAGGCCTTTGCTGCACTCGAGATCATTCCGCACTCGCCTGCGGCACGGGCGTAAACATTGCTCTCGTGTGCAGCAAAGTATCACTTTGCCCACTAGTTACACAATAGTTATCTGTGTAACTAGTGGGCAAAGTCAAAGTGGCACTTTGCTGCACACGAGAGCATGTTTACGCACGAGCCGCAGGAGATTTCGTGGTGCTGTGGATGTGTATGATAAATATAACTTAATACGAAATGTCAGGCCGCTCTATATTATGTCCACACAAAAATATTCCGAATTGTTTTAAGTGGTTAGAAAAAGTCCATAAATTTATCTTGGGAACAACCATTGACTATATTTAAATACATACTATTTTAGTACAGTTTATAAAATTTATAAAATTTAACTATATATAATATAGTAAATGGAATGGTACAACCCGCCACCCCTTCCCAAAAATCTCTTATCATGGCCGGAGTGAGCTGATGACATAGTTCATGCATAGGTCATAACAGGTGCTATAGCTCACAATAAGTCGTCCTACCCGATTGACTTGTAAGAAAGTTCGACAGAAAATCAGTGATGTACATCAGCACAATCTATCGATCAATTATGTCATCAACTACGAAGATTTTGATTACAAGGGGATGGTACGTCTAGTTATCAATAGTCAAAGCGTAGGTTAACAGTTTTTGCTCCTTCTTTCGACGCCGTTCTTCTCGATCCATACCAAGTCGACCTGTCTGCTATTTGTTTTTTGTCTGTCCGACATAGACATCTTAGGTTCTGTGTCAAAATAGTTCTAGGAGCCTAAACACTAAATGAGTCAATGTTTCTACCGTACCCCTTACCCATCGGACTACCGGTACAAGATCTAAGATTCTGAGACACTCTCTGCTGGGCCGAAGACTCACCATGCCTCCCCAAGTCGAGAGGGTCTGCTCTCTCCAAGAAAGGGGCTTGGCTGCATCCACTCGCTGCTCCACTCGATGTAGTGGTCGATTCTCATGGCTCAGCTCCGAACGGTCCTCGCTTACGAAGCCCCCGCATGGTATCATCTGATCTGCAAGACCGCTAGACGGCAGCTGATCGTCATCCATAGCAAGACTCTTCGGCAGGTGACGGAATCACCCTGATACAAGAGGAACTCCGTGATCATGGACTCTATCGCCGTCTCCGAGACTTCGTCGATGGACTTCAAGGAGGCAGCAGAGATATCTCCGTGGGACCACATCCGGGTCCTGATGGCTGAGGAAGTCCCCCAGCTTCGCCCGCACGTCCAAGAACAATTGAAGAACACTACTTTTAAGTCTATGTAGCTTAGGCTTATACCCACAGTGCATGGCCAATGAGTATATGCTCCAACAAGGAGCAGGAGCTCACGAATAACTAGTCACCACAGCCATCCACTCTTTGACTTGCTAGACAGAGCCAGCCGACCAGCGTTCAGACGGAACGCCTAAATATATCTTCTTAGCTCTACGGAAAATCTAGCCAAACTCATTAACTCATTTTGGCCTTTCAATAAGTTATGTCATGTCAGGAAACTAGGTATTATCTTTGACTATTAATACACTATTCATTATAATAGACAAAACATAGTATACGTGTTTGTTAGACTATGATATTATCAATGGTATCATCATAGGGAGTATGTTTAGTCTATCCTATTATTGTGAAATAAACAAATTCCTTTTCCTACTGTTATATTATTTGCATGGTATTTTGGGGTAATGGATGTCTCCTGCCAGCCTCCACAAATTGCCAGATGTTATTAAATAATGACTAGTTAAAATATATGTATTTGTAATAGTATTGACGTAATTATTTGTGCCCGGCTTCCTATTCCGCTGGCCTTGCTGCTTGCTGGATTCAGCAGAACAACTTGCTCGGTCAGCCTGGATCCTGGATCAAAGTAAAAAACAAAAACAAATAGTGTAGTGTAGACCTAAATTGACCTGATCGTTATCTGTCATTTTGTGTTTATGTAGTCTTAGATTGAATATATTTAGGTTAATTAATATTATGTTTCATAGTAAGTGTGGAGAAAATATTAAATTAAGCAACGATAACAAAACCGCCACTAGAAATTCCGCAGAGTTTAATTATGGCTTAGCCCTTGTATTTAGTAGTGAACCATTACTGGATGATGAATTGTTTGAAGTAAGGATTGACAAGAAGGTTAGTGAATTATTATTGTTGTTTAATTTACAATAAACATTTACTATAAACTAACAAACATTTGTTTTATAGCCTAAATTAAGAAATTTGCATCAGATCAGGTTTATAAAACATGTGGAAACAGTTAAAATCTGTGATTTCATATTGGCTTTTCGCTAATATTAGGTTGGTAGACTAGGCCTAGTAGCCTAAAGTTATTTGCTTGTTAGGCCTAGCTTCCTCCTACTGAACTACTTAACTGACGACAGTGAATGCCTATGATTGTTTTATTCCATAATATTTAATTTGATGGATATAAGTTATTTGGATCTAGTTTAGGCCTATTCGATTTCAAGCTTAAGATACACAACTATCTTAGGCTTAAAAAGTTAAAGTTTGTGTTTGTCAAATTTGTTCACGACATTTAACTTAGGGTTCTTCAATTTACAAATTAGGCTTAGGCTACCTGAGGCCCTACATCGTTGAGTAATCCAATACTCGCTGGTGATAAGAAAGATGCAATCCTGAATAATTTGTTTTCGATGCCCTCTGAAGAGGTTGTCGTTATATGGGCTCGATGTTAATTTATGAGACAGTGGCGTAACAGAAGGGCCCATAATGCGGGGGGGGGGGGGGGGCAGGAGCTGAGGGGGCCCGCGAACCGGTGTGCGGGGAACGGTTAGCAGAGAGGCCTATGGGACAAGTGGGGCCAAAAAATTGGCACTCATTCTTATTTAAATGTATTATCAATCATTCAATAGTTGTATTGAACAAGTAATAACATTAATGTCATTAATAAATATGTTATTATCTGTTATCATTTAATATCGTTAGGCCTCTTCATCAGTGATAAAGAACTAGGGTAACAAATTAAATGTGTTATAACGTGGGTCTTTGATTATTATGCAATCTTACTTTCGTCACCGAGAAATATTTTACTTCTCGGTGATTTCGTACACTGCTTATGTCGTCTGCAAACATATTGAAACATTAAGTTACTTTGGAGCCTGGAGTCTGGCTGGGGCTTTTAATCATGTATTATTTTATATTTTAGTTTTGCCCTAATATCGATGGTATTTTCAATTTTGTTACAATATACTGCTACTCTACTGGCTGTGTTTGTTAGCCCCTTATCTTACTGCATGGAACCATCCTTAAAGAAAACTGCACTTGAAGATATTCTATCAACCTTCAATGTCCTCAGACTACAGCTTCCACCAACAAGGACTACTAGCATCTCGTCCACCTCCATAGACATGTGCTGCGTCTCTAACCATCTCAAGAATAATGTTAATGTCGGGGTTATACACACTGGTATATCGGACCACAGTGGCCAAATATGTGAACTGGGCCTCAGTGTCAACAGTGTAAAGCCATATTCAACTGTTGGTAGAGTCATCAACCCGAATAACATGGACTGTTTGAGGACACTACTTGCAGCTCAGGACTGGCAAGACGTTATGCAAAGCAACCTTGTTGAAGTGGCGTTTGACCACTTCCTGGTCATAATTACCATGGCTCTCAACGCTTCATGTCCACTCAAACTGTCAAGAGCAAACCGACGCAATCCCATCAAGCACGTTTTTAATGAAGAAGCGGCCAAACTGAAAGACACCTTCCTTCAGGCCCAGGAAACCTACATTAAGACAGGGAGAGAAGAGGACAGGCGGACTGCCAACCACTTTAAGAAGGTCTATGACTTATTTCTAAGAGACTTGAGACGAGAGACTACAGCAAACTATATCAATCAGTCTAACTGCAAATCAAAGGCAGTTTGGAGGGTCATAAATAGTGAAAGAAGGTCTAAGCTACAAGATAACACGGAAATTAAATACTTGACGCTTCAAGAAGGCAGCAGAGTGGAGGATCCTTCAGAGCTTGCCAATGCGTTCAACTCATACTTTACATCAATAGCTGATGAAACATTGAACAACAGCCAGGCCGGGAGATCAAGTAACCTAAAGACTAATTTGCCAGATATTACACACGCATTAAAAGATCTAATACCCACGACTGAGAAGGAACTGCGAAAGGTTGTTGGCACAATGAAAAGTAAGAACTCTTCAGGGCTGGATGGATATTCATCCAAGATGGTGAAGCACTGCTTGTCCGAGCTAATGAAACCCTTACTCCATGTTGTCAACCTGAGCCTTGCCAGTGGATGCTTCCCCAGTAAACTGAAGACCACTAAGGTGATACCACTACATAAAAAGGGAAATAAACATGAGCTTGGGAACTTCCGCACTATTTCCTTGGTATCTACCTTCTCGAAGATTATTGAGAAAGTTATACTCACCCGAATCGAAGACCACCTGGCAAGGAACAGCATCGACCTATTAAATCAACACGGCTTCCGAAAGAAGAAATCAACTTTGACGGCCCTTGTGGACTAAAAAAATTGGAAAGACTAGGTTTTCAGGATGGGACATTATCTTGGTTTGCAAGTTATCTGAGAGGACGTGAACAGCTTGTTGAAGTTAGGCAAAAGACCAATGGAAAGCTATCCTACTCCAGATCGTCTTTGCTCCCTATCTGTAGAGGTGTGCCACAGGGCTCAGTTTTGGGACCTGTCCTCTTCACACTGTTCACACTTGACCTTCCTGCACACACAGAGAACTTTGGAAGAGCAATAATGTATGCTTACGATACTGTTTTATTATCTTCCAGTCACAGTATAGAAGATCTTGAGGTAACTTCGTTCATCTCCTTGGAACTAGCTATTGAATACTGCTCTGGAAATGATCTCGTATTCAACGAGACTAAAACTAGGCAACTCAACATGGGAAAGGAAAAAGACAAAATATCAGAACTTCCAAACATTTCATCTGTTGAATCCGTTAAACACCTTGGAATAATATTAGACTCCAATCTCAGATGGGACGAGCACATCGACAGCCTCTGCCAGAAATTAAGCAGCAGTATATATGCTTTAAGACGCGTTAAAGCCATTAGCACATATGATGCAGTAAAAACCGCCTATTTTGCTTTTCTGGACAGCCACATTAAATATGGAATAGCTCTTTGGGGTGCCACTGCCGGGAAAAACCTGCAACGTGTGTTAGTTCTGCAGAAAGAGGCTGTTCGTGTTATGGCGGACTTAAAATGGAGGGCGAGTTGCAGACAAGCTTTTGTAGACCTAAAGATATTAACACTAATAAATACTTACATACTTGAAGTTGTCACCATGGCCTGCAAATCAAGATTACCACGGAATGATAATGTTCACCAGCACTTTACCCGGCATGCCTGTAATTTTAATCTACCTACACACCACAGTAGAAGATATGAGGGTAAGCCTTCTTACATCGGAGCCAAATTTTTCAACCATCTGCCAGCTGAAATCAAGAGTTCCAGTCCTGAGAAGCTGAAGACAGTACTCCGGGATTGGCTGCACCACCATCCTTTCTAGGGCGTTGGAGAGTTCTTGGACTGGCAAGCTGAAGCTCTGTAGATCAATTACCGGTATTCTAAAAGACACTCTCGAAAGAAGTTTCTGTAATATATTTGACGCAATTTTCAATCTTAACGATTTGTAAATAAAGATCTCTCTCTCTCTCTCTCTCTCTCTCTCTCTTATTTTACCTCAAAATCAAGCAATAATAATCACATTTGTTGTAAGTTAAACGCTTAAAATCCATACGAAGATAAAATTAAAAAAAATTCAATAGGGTATCTTAGCCTGTGATAAAAGTATGTCAATCTATTAAATCAACCAACTTTTAGTGTATGAGTTAATTATAACCAAAGATTAAACCAATCTTTGATTAAACTAACCTAATAAATTAAAACTATATAGGCATATTGTTAGTCTACATTTGCTCAGGTTTTAGTTTGTTTTTCTTGTTGTCAAGATTTTTCTGTTAAGTAATAATCATATGTCCCATTGCATGTTTGGCTTGACCCTTAAATATTAGTAACATTGAATATTTATTGTAAACATAATATTGTAAATTGGTTTGTTTGGACCGTTGGAAGCAAAAATAAATAAATAAATAAATACTTTAATACTTTACTTTGAAATGGAGACCAAACCAATGTAGGTATTTTAAGCCAAGAATCAATGGAGATGAGTGTAGGATGAGTGGCCCAAACCTTTTAGTTTTGAAAGGGACTAAGGCCGAAATATTCCTTAGACACAGCTGTTAATTAATAGCCAATACAGCCAAAGTCAACTAAGCGGCCTACAGTTTATAGGTGAATTCGAACCACATTTTTGCCTTGTAACGAATTAGTCTTAACTATCAGGGTAATAAAAATGGATGACACGTGTGATAAATTAAATGTAAAACCTCCTTGATATAAACATTCTGATACGATGGAAAATAAGGTTTTTTTTATTTGATTTCAAAACTATTTACACACCGATATTGATATAATGATGTAGTGATGTAACATTTTCATCAAACCACAACTGAAATACTTAACACACCCTTTTATGGAACATAACCCATAATTTATTTACCACTCACTTTTTATGATTTAAAATCTGTTTTATCATTGTATCGGTGGTTCAAAAATAACTCTGGGGGGAGGGGGAGGGCGTTTCACTATGTTGTATCGGTGGTCTAAAAATAACTCAATGAGAGGGGGGCCCAAAAAATAAGTTTGCAGGGGAGCCCGTCAAAATTTTTTACGCCACTGTTATGAGAAGTCGACTTACTACCCACTAACTAGCTATAACTTAAGTGTAACGATTATTCATGATATTGTTCACATTTTTATGGCAGAAACCTCTTTTTTAAAGAGTTACCGGTATAGGACGTATCCTTCACCTTTAACATAGCCTATTGTCTTCAGCAAGATTATGGATATGAGACTTTGAAGTACGTGGCAGGCCTAATATATCTTTTTAATCAACCGGTATCAAAATATAATCTGAAATAAGACACGTTTGTTTAAATCCATAAAACAAATGGAGTAACTTGGCTTACGGTATATCTAAAGTGTAGCCTAATGTAAGCCCATTTATGAATTACTGTGCCAAGTAAGATAGCCTAACTGGAAAATATTTTATTTTGCAACAGCCTGAAGTTAACTTTAGTCAAAAATTCACGCTGGGTGAAAAACCTGACTTTTTTGGTTTTACTCTAAAAATCAACATTTAAGTTAGGCTAGAACTTTTAAGATTGTTACGAGTTTGAGGATTCAAGAGTTTTTTTGTTCCAAGAAACAGGACTTTGCTAATATGATCAATAGGTGGGTTAGGCATAATTTTACTGCCCTAGGGTGCTAGTCACAAGCCCGGGCTTTTTTCACAGTATTTCAGGCTAGATCTAGGGGTTGCGGCATTATCACTTAGATAAAATCCTTTGGTGATTTTTCACCATTAGGCATAATAGAATGTTACCAGTCACCTACCCAACTTACACCATACACCTTGATTGGGTTAGATGACCTAATAATTTATTGTTGTGTAATTTAAGTAAGTATACAATTAAGTAAGTATTGTTTTCAGATATATTCCTGGAATGGCAGCTTGGAGATAGGGGTGACTTGTTGCAACCCTGAGACTGTGTCTTTGCCTGCAAGTGCCATTGATCTTCGGAACAACACTTGGGTAATCACATTAAATATTAAGTATTCAATATTGAATTTCACATACTTCAAGTAATTAGGTGATGAACCTTGATTTGTTGGTAGGCATACCCTACTATTGTTTGATCAATAAATCTTAAATTTATGGTTAGGCCTATGTAAAATGCTGACATTTCAACTCAACAAATCAACTTAGCCATTTTAGCATATAACATAAGAGTAAAATCAATATTTTTCTATCCTAAAGTAAATATTAAGTAATGTAGGCCTACTTTTAATAATCATGAAATACGAGTATTTCCAATTTGCTCAATTTAAGAGACATCACAATTATGATTGGACTATGTACAGGTTATGATTATGATTGGATAATCATAACCTGACCTTGGAATTATGATTGGACACATTGCAGGTGCTGTCCGGTGATTCTGTCCTGAAAGATGGAGTTCCCAGCGTCGAGGTTTACGGCCTTGACCTGGACAAAGCTATGGAGGGCGACAGAATCGGAGTCATGCGAACATCACAGGTAGGGTGCTAGTTCCATATCAGTAGACTATAAATCTTTTGTAATAAACTTACTGCGCTAAGAAAGTAGAGCATGGTTGCAGTAAGTGATGCTCACCAAACAATCTGAAGATTTGATGTCAAGGAAAATATATTATGGTAGTTGTTTTGTGATTGTGGTAAACAAAACTGGCCCCAGCAGCTCCTTGATCATTGGGGTTTTTGTAATAGATCTGTATAAAAAAATCTACTGATCTTAGTCAGTAACAAGACATCATTTCACACATAATTTACCTGAAATATGCGCCCTGTAGTATGAGTCGCAGTCAGATTGGCACCACGACAGATTGGCACCATGGTGTTTTAGCACCCGGCGTCACATTGGAACCTCGTTGACATGAGGCCATGAAATATCACCCCACGTCAGCTTGGCACCACGACAGATTGGCACCACCCCTTTCTAGAGGTTCCAATCTGTCGTGTACTGTTACGACTGATTGGCACCTCTGCGGCCGCCGTCAGCTTGGCACCGCTACAGATTGGCACCGCCCCTTTCTCGAGGTTCCAATCTGTCGTGTACTGTTACGACTGATTGGCACCTCTGCAGCCGCCGTCAGCTAGTCACCACGACAGTTTGGTACCACCCATTTTATTTATTTAACCACAAGACCAAACACCAAAGCTACCTTAGTAAACCATTTATTCACCAATAGTTATATGTTTGCTGCTTTTAGCAGAGTTAAACTTCAGGGTGATACAAATTATTTATTGAAAATAACGTCAACAGAAGCAAACAAAAAGCTTTTTTACACAAAAGATATGGCGTACAGGGATATCTATTCTGACAAATAGATAATAAAATACTTGAAATAATTTGTTTTACATTTGAGCGCTTTAGGGACTTAAGTCCCTACAAGCCTACAAGCCACTAGTATACATAATATACGTAAGCCGATTCTTTGCGTCAAAATTGTGGGCGAGTGGGAAGTTGTAGAACGACGGGAGAGGGCTCAAATTAAAGGTCTCGTTCTCGTGACGGCGGGAAAAATAGTGAAATTCCCTCAACTTTAACACAAAATTAGATATAACGTAGAATGTTCTCCATGAGAATAGCATTATAAGCCATTTAATGCTGATTTTTGTTTACTTTAATACAGCTGATTGTGATTTATCATTAAGCCAGTAAGCAATATTACATTTGCATTACTCATTTGCCAGTCCATTCTGCATTTTATTCATATCAACGGTCAAGCAATGTACTGTATACTAAATAGTGAATGATCATACTATAATATTATAAATGTGAAAGTTTGTGTGTTTGTTTGTTTGAAGTTCAATCACGCAATAACCACTGGACGGATTGGGCTGAAATTTGGCATGACGATAGCTTACATTCCCGATAAACATATAGGCCTATTCTTATCTCAAAAATCCTTTCGAGCTCCGCCCCAGTAGCTCTGTTGTTCCCCATGTTAACCTTATGAGTATTCATATTTAAAAGGAATTAAAAGATTTTAGTCAGCTGTTTCAACTAAAAAAAATTTCTATGATATGCTTATGCTTATTTGCCAACCCCGTACGAAGGACGGGTACTCTGCTAGTACTATTTAAAACCAGGTATAATAATTAAGACTTTTCAGTTATATATTAGAAAGTTGAAATTAATTATTTTACTGTGAAACCTTTCAAATTTGTGAATTTTTAAGCGTATGATAAGTAGTTGAATTTTATTTTTATTTTATCTACTTGCCAACGGACTTACACCAATTTTATAGTTTGATTGAGTTGTAAATTGCTCATTATGGCTAGATAGCCTATCTATATATAATGACACTGAAAGGAATGTCAATTGTAACAATAATAAGAATAAAGTATACATGTGAAAAACATGGACAAAGAACAAACTAAGAGTAACGATAAATAAATGCATAGTTGAATAAATAACTAATAATAAATAGTTTCGATAACTGTTTAATGGAACCCTAACCAGTCGCAAAATATTTAGGAATCAACCTATTATTGATAGAATATGTGTCAATAGGGTCAATCCCACCTTTAGGTTATGTTATTTATTTATTTACTTACATTAATTGTATTTTTTTATGTTGATCAGAAACAAATCTAGGGTTAAGTTTGGTCAATTGGATGCCTTTAGTTTACACTAATTTTGTTAAACCTTTACAAAAGGTGTATACACTTAGAAATAATAACCGGGTCGGGATGCTTTAGTGGTTTTTACCAAGAACTAAGCTTACCTCAACACACCTTTATTTGCCTTTTCATATTTGACGAAGACAATTTCAAAATTTTAATCAGGGAAGCCTATTTATGACCATTATCCACAAGACAAAACACCAACGCTACCTTAGTAAACCAGTATTTGTTCACACACAATTATATGTTTGCTGCATTACAGAGTTAAACCTCTGGAGTGAATAAATTATCTATTGAAAATAACGTCAACAAAAGCAAACGAAGATAAACAAAACACTTGTTTACACTAAAGATATCGTGTACAGGGATATTTATTCTGACACATAAATATAATTCTTACAAAAATTTGTTATTTACATTTGAGCGCTTTAGGGACTTATGCATGTGGTTTAAGTTTATGCATATTGTAATATGTAATATGTACTGTAATATGTGCACTTTTTTATAAAGCTGAATGATCAGTTCAATGATCAGTATGGAAGATAATTAAAAGTTCAACGCGAAATGCTGGAAGACCAAATTAAAATTTTTTACCGCGAAGTACTCTGTAACCTTTCCCGGGAGGCAGCAGGTGTTCAAATAGTTTCAACCCTAGGTATTCCGAAACGGACCTGATGGCATTTCCATTCTTCCTAGGATTGTTGTTGATGGGTTTATGAAAGTATTCTAATTTTCTAAAGAGTTTGTATGTCTACACGAATGACACGATTACGTGCTCGTTCAGCGCGTGCTCGTACGATTCGCGGACCAAGGAGCGCACAATACCTCCTCTAATGGGAGGTCATAAATAAAAACCGTAGGGGTAGGACCAAGGAGCGCAGAGGTACCTTGCGCGCCTCGGTCCTACGCGAGCAAGGAACTAAGTGACTAATCCCCTACTTATACGGATTAAAAGAGACAATGGCTGGTCGACCCTGTGAGTAAATCCCATTAGTCACGCCTCACTGAATACACCACTTAAAAATTAAAGTGTAATGAGTAATTTTGAAACATTAACATTAAGATACTGTATTAAGTATTCGAAGTAGTTATCTTGAAAACAATTTGTTTTTGTCCGACGTTAATCAGCCCATTTTAAATACAGACACACTGCATATTTTTCTAAGTGCAGTTTAATACAAATTAAATATTTAATACTAAATAGTGCGGAACTAAATATGCATTATTTTATTATGATGAAAATCATATTAGATTATGTGAGACAGTTAAACTTGCTCTCTATGATGTACAGTATTTTGTTTTGCAGGTATAGTTTGTATAATTTTAAAATAGCTTTGAAGGCATGACGACTATTGCTTAAAACATGCATGGTTCTACGTAATTTGTCTTGATCCTCTACCGGTGATTCACCCTTCGTCCTACGGAAACACATGGAATTTTCTCTCGTGGTTGAGTTATGATATTGAATGACTCAATACTAGTACCGGACGTTCGTACTATTTAGGAGCAATGCATACCATTCTTGAAACTTATTCTTAAGAACAATATATTATGTTGTGCATTTCCGGCTTAGATGGGTGAGGAGCTTATTGCTGAAAGTGATATTTTTGCCAAATGACAATGTGCCTGGGCTAAATTTACTTCAAAAGTAGTGTATTTTTACATAGGCTTTGTTTAAATTTAAAAATACTTTTTGTATAAGAATAACTTAGGTTTTTCTGAAAGTATGTTGTCGCAGTAGTATATTATTGGAAATATCTTAAATTAAATCGATTGTTTTGTTTCGTTTAGTTTTTTAACTGTAATATTGCCGACATAAAATGTTATCTAATGAAAACCTTTACCCTTAAGTTCCTATAATTATTCATTCCTAAATTATTGGTCAAGCACAAATTCGTTTAATCAGAATTTACTAGGCTATTTCCAAAGTAATGGTTTAAGAATACTTTAGGTAGATGTTATAGCCTCATAATTACTATATTTTAATGATAAATTCAAATAACAATAACCAGCACGTACTCTGGCCGGATAAAAAAGAGTAAACTATAATACAAATTAAGACTGGTTTTAATTCAAGTAGTGTTACCAGTTACGAAGCATTGCAAGCATTTACTACTTCTTTCACCATCTCCTATGTCGTGGACATGTTTCCATCCCTTCTCATAGCATTTCAGTATTTCAATTTCAGATACATATATCTAACTGTTACAAACGGTTTCTAGTTCCCACACTCCACACTGCTCACCTTTACTACTTCCTTCACCACTTCCTACGCCGTGGACCTGTTTCCTTCCCTTCCCATAGCATTTCAGGATTGCAGATACCTTAATCTGATCGTCATTAACAACAGTTCCCACATTCCGGACTGCTCGCCTTTACTACTTCCTTCGCTACTTCCTACGTCGCTGACCTTTTTCTCTCCCTTCCCATAGCATTTTAAGATTGTAGATACCTTAATCTTATCATCATAAACAGTTCCCACACTCCGGACTACTCGCCTTTACTACTTCCTTCGCCCCTTCCTACGTCACGGACCTGTTTCCCTCCCTTCCCATAGCATTTTAGGATTGTAGATACCTTAATCTAATCGCCATAAACAGTTCCCACACTCCGGACTGCTCGTCTTTACTACTACCTTCACCACTTCCTACGTCACGGACCTGCTTCCCTCCCTTCCCATAGAATTTTAGGATCACAAATACCTTAATCTAATGGTCATAAACAGATCGCACACTCCAGACTGTTTGCCTTTACTACTTCTTTCACCACTTCCTACGTCACGGACCTGTTTCCTTATCTTCCCATAGCATTTTAGGATTGCAAATACCTTTTCCATCCTTATGGAACAGCTTTAAGCCACTTTTATTGTTAGTTCTGTCCGGTTTTCTGTAGATGTTGTGTTTTTGCAAGAAACAAATTGCAAACAAAGCACGACATCTACAGAAAACCGGACAGAACTAACAATAAAATTGGCTTAAGCTGTTCCATAAGGATGGGTAATTTTTCATAACAGATCCCACACTCCGCACTCTGCTATCCTTTACCATAGATAAAACATACTCCCTATGCCTTTACGACAATCTCAGAGTAATAAAACAAAACTAGGCCTACAATGTATCGAGTAAGGTTCAGTATAATCTTTGCTCAATAGGAACAAGTGATATCTTTCCTTTTGTACTGTCAATGTAATTTCTAGTATACTGTGGGTAGATGCCTTTATGAACACATGTTACAACTTACAAGTCGTTTGTTTACTTTTTCCTTGTTATTCAATTCAACCAACATGGTTACTTAGCAACCCATAAGACTAATGTTAAAATGTGACTTTCAGTTTCATTTTTCCACGTAATTAGATTTTTGTTGGCAGTTCTAACTGCAGTAAAGTCGATTTTAGGCCAAAAATAAACTATTTACAATTTTTGAAGAAAATCGTCGGAGCCGTTTTCGAGATCTTTCTGCAAGCAAGCAAGCATACATACAAGCAAACATTGCTCGTATTAGAGTATAGGATAATACTAGAGTTTAACATAATTAGCCGAAATAACATGCATTTGCCAATATCGCATTCCAAACTCAATCATTACGTAAAAAAACATCGTCAACGAGTCATTTAAATAGCAACTAAAACAAATACAATACTTACATACATCTTACATCCGAAATAACATGTATATGCATTACACAATACACATTACAACATCAATCATTCAAACACATTCCCAACTCAATCATTAGCTAAAAACATTAAAAAAACAAGCAATTAAAACTCACGTTCAACAACCGCGACTAAACCATCTTTACAGATACCAAAATATTTGTTCGCAGTCTGGACGACTCATGTTCAGGTAGTCCACAGCATTTTTGAGGTGTTCGCAGTCTGGACGATTTTACCCTTGTTCGCAATCTGGACTGTTCGCAATTAGGACACAACCTCCCATTTTTGACACGTTTCTGTTTTCAAACATCAGACTAGTAAGTAAAACGAAAAGGTGGGCCTATTGAGAGGATTACGTGCCGGAAGCGACCGTGCCAGAAGCGACCCAGCTAAAATCGTGCCAGAAGCGACCCTGGTAGTAGCGTGAGTGCCACTAGCGACCCATTGTTTGATAAAGGGTTTTACAATGTTTTGTTGAAATCGGTGTTAATGGCTTATAAACAAATCCTATTCTTGTTATAGTAATATAATACCACCTGGAAAAGCCCAATGTTCGCCTAAAGAGCTGTTTTAGCATCTCTAGTTACCAGCTGCTAGCATAGACTCGAGTTATGTGTGGTAACTTAATAAAACATTTTTTCTTAATTTTTATCATTTTATAAAAGCCAAATATAATCAATTAACTTATCTTTTCTTTAGTTTCAATTTATTAAATATGTAAATATGAGATGGTGGATGTGTGTTTGTATAGGTCAAAAGATCTAAATAAAACTTCACATGGAGGTAGTTTCTAAAATATAATCAAAATAATGTTTATTTCAGTAAGTAAAATACTATGTTACAATACTTTGTCAGTACATATTTTATAATTATGCCATAGTTATGTAATAATATACTGACATAGTCATTAAATATGAAATCCCCCTCACATAGGCTACTGTCCGTGCGTGAGAAATTTCCTCTATCAGTAAATAAATATTCTAAACTAAAAAAAATAGATATTTATAAAACACTAGCTGGTCCGACAGACGTCGTCCTGTCCTAATGTGGTTTTATGTCAAATGCTTGTTCATTTTCAAAATTCAAAAAGCAGAAACCATTCGGGTCGTCAAACTTTGGATTTTTGCTACTAGCCTGTTTGGAGATAGTGGCTTCTTGGAGTTTAATGAAGTTGACGTGTTAACAATTATTGTTAACATATTATGTTTGGATTAGGATTTGAAATATATAGTTGGACTCTTTCTTCAACGTCCTGCCTGTTGTAAAGCGTAGGCCTAATTACAACAGCTTGTTTTCATTTGACTATTTTATTTCATTTCATTACGTTTAAAATGGCCCTCCGATGTTTATAAATGATTCAATCCCATTCCCCAAATTTAATGCACATTAGATAAGTAATTGTATTTCCAAAACATATTTCGAAACTAAAATTAAATACTGAAATTGATCTTTAGGAAATTCATATTTCAGTTCAGAAAACACAGCCAATCAAATAGGGACTTTCTTAATAAAAAATCAACAGTCTGGCAACAAAGTTTTTTTTTATTTGTGTAACAGTAACAGTTGGAATAAAAAAAAAAACAAGATTTGTATAAAGATGAATTAAGAGCAATAAACTGTTTGGTGATATAGCCTATGACAGATAATCAATAACAATGCAATGGAGTTATTGACCTACACATTTTATCTAACGGTGCAAAAATAGAAAAACAATAAAAATAGACTATATAGTTTAAATCATTAAATAAAAAAAATATTTACAAATATACAAATCGTACATTTACCACAACATACTAGCAGGTGCAAAAGAAAAAATATTTGTGACATAACCGGGATTATAGACATAACAAAAGCCACAATTTTTATAAGCGTTTTAATTTGTTGGGAGTTTTTTTTATCTAAATCATCAGCTGTATAGATAACTTCGTCATTATAAATATATAGAGTTTTTCTACAATAAATTCCTACCCTTTTCTTGCCTCATATTATTATTTTTGAGTTAGTAGAGTCTTAGTCATTTTTCGTGAGCAGGTCAACAACATCAGGGGTTGTAAGCTGCCATACTATTACTAGAAACCTCAAAATCTTCTTAATTTAGTTGTGCTAGAATACTCTTTTCCATTTAGGGAATAAGCTGTTACTGTAGGTCTCATTGAAAGACCTAGACCAGGGACCTATTTTATTTTTCGTTTTGATGCCCCGTGAGAGCAAAAACACCATTCGTATAAAATATATGTAATTTGTAATTTAAGTAATTTGGTTATAATTCATTTCCATTCTAGCTCCTGAGCTGTAATATTTAATGTGATAAAAAGGTTTACATACCTTATAATCCGACAAACAGCTCAAATAGTAGGTTGTTTACATGTTTCGGCTTGTATCCACCATTGTAAAAACATTGCAGTTGGAAAAAAATACTTATCATTGTTTACAAATGTCCATAAACTTTCACACACACATACACGAACGAATAAAAAAATAAATAGGCCTATTACAATAAATGCACCTGGAGACTACAAACTGTTATAGTTTGCTTATTTTATTTATGGATATGTGTTGTTAAATGTATACTCGTATGAATTATACGATACAATTTACATAAAAAAACTATTATTTCTTCCCCAAATGGGAATAAATTTAGTCTGCAGGACTGCTGCGCAAGAGTACTTTGTTATGTATTTAATGTGACAGCAAATCGTTTTAATGGTTTTATAGTGAAATTCTGTTTAGTTTTGGCGTTAATTCATACTCGCCTCCCGCTCCAAATTCTTGGGTCGCTAGCGGCACGGGTCGCTCCTGGCACGGTCGCTTCTGGCACGACACCATTGTGATCAGCGGTGCCAATCTGTCGTATACTGTTACGACTGATTGGCACCTCTGCGGCCGCCGTCAGCTTGTCACCACGACAGATTGGCACCACTCATTTCTCGAGGTTCCAATCTGTCGTGTACTGTTACGACTGATTGGCACCTCTGGGGCAGCCGTCAGCTTGGCACCACGACAGATTGGCACCACCCCTTTCTCCAGGTTCCAATCTGTCGTGTACTGTTACGACTGATTGGCACCTCTAGGAGCGGTGCCAATCTGTCGCGGTGCCAATCTGACGCGGTGCCAATTAGACGCGTACCCGTAGTATTTGAGCAAATGTAACTAATTGCAGTAATCTAAGCTAATTAATAATCTATGTTTCAATATTTTTTGTATCTATCGAGACCACTACTGTCAATTAACTTACTAATAGACCTTCTAACTACTAGTGTGTTTAGTAAATTAGTGTATAAAAATAGGATAGGCTATATCATTACTTTATCTCCAGACAAATTTTAGTTTAACTAGTACAGGTACACGTAACGTAAAGAATCCCTATTTACAAAATCATAAAAATTCTGCACCAATATCGTTTCACATAAAAATTTATAGACAGTGTGATTCAGAAAAAAATCAATGAAGAACTATTTCTTTGTGTACAATAAAGAAACAATATACTACAATTCATTACTGGTACAACATGAAGCAAATTTAGTTATTCAGTTAACTACGATTTAGGTATTTTCTCATGCTTGATAAAGAATTGTTATTTCAGGGAGAGCTGATTTTTTATATAAATGGAGTGTCATATGGTGTAGCGGCAGAATATGTCCCTCCGAACGTGTTTGCTGTTGTCGATGTTTATGGAGAGATTGCTCAAGTTACCGTTACCAGTGGAATGAGACCTCGTAAGTTTGTATCTAGTTTAACCACAGTAAAATATTACTAAGCCTTAGTGGTTAAGGTTCTTAATGTAGGCCTACTGTTCTTCCATAAATAGGCCATTGATTTCACAAACGCTACATTGAGTTTTTAAACTAGTACTAAATAGATGTTTTGTAGACTAAATTATATTTATAAAAGCATGTACAAATAAATTTAAATTATATCAATCAAAATTAAACTATCGAATTTCTTATTTCCAACAATGACCGACTGTCCGAAAAATCAATTATTTGACACCCCCCCAATCCAGTTTTTTTAAAATAACCGCCTCTCTCCCGCAATTCTCCTAATCTATGTAGCGATTATAATTTTTTACTCCTCCCATTACTCTCTCATTTACATTATTTCCCAAATCTAACCTAACCTAACTCACAGTGGAGATGGAGGACGAGGCAGTTCTGACGAGCTTGGTCGCCAACTTGGATGTGGAGATGAGCGTACCAGAAGACCTGTCACTGGAGCCTGCAGAGAGGCTACACTTCCACTCTCGCACAGGGTCCCTGGTCAAGCTGTCTTTTAATGCCAGGACAGCCGAGCGACTGCGGCCGCTGGACGAGTTCAACAACGGAGTTGTCATGACACATCGGCCATTACAAGACGAACAGCTGTTTGAGGTGAAACTTTGTCATAATGCTTATTCTAATACGTCATACATTAGGGAGTCCCAATATACATAGCTAACTTACCAGAAAAGAGATCCAGACAGTAGAAAACACACAAAGTTGACAACATTACTAGGCCTAATTTCATATTTCATGTTTTGGTGTATGGATTAAGGATTATGGATTACCTACTGTTGCCTTCAGATAAATTTTGAAGCATCCTTTTTGACAAACCGCGAGATACAGGTCCATAATATTAAGTGGACAAGGAAGAACTTATTTGGTATTGATTTTGTGTTAGGTAACTAAGTTATAAAAAATCACTTGTCTGTTGGTATGCATTAATTTTACAGTACTAGGCTATATTTAAATTGGTTTTGCTCTCAGATCCGCATAGACAGATTGGTGGAGAAGTGGTCAGGCAGTATAGAAGTAGGGGTCACAGCACACAATCCGAACAGCCTTGACTTTCCTGCCACTATGACCAACATGCGAACAGGTAGGCCCAAGAACGGGAAGCTTATTTGAGTTCCCCCTCTACTTCATATATCAGCTAATAAGGTTATGGCTTTTTTATCAAAGTTAGAGTGAATTGGATGGGATGGAAGCCCCTCAAACCGCTTAAAGTTTGTGAATAGAGTTGTGTATTAAATATGAAATATACAAAATGCTTTCAGTATTAGCCTAGTACCATTCAAAGAAGGTCTCCCCAAAAAGATGCAACTTTGCTTCTGAAATTTAATTTTACTTCAGGAGATTGAAGTTTTAAGTTGTAGTAATGTTTAGTGATTGTAACATTACTGAAATCGAGTTGCGCTCAACTCAACGCCAAGAGAGGCTCATACTTCCGCAGTCAATAGTGGTGGAAATATCCAGTAAATGTGGCTGGATCACTAATCCATTTATTTGAATTTTAATGACAGTTGGTTGCTGACTAGAATAGGCTTTGTAAGACTATATACTCAAGAATTTGAATTAATGTGCGAACTTTAAATTCAATTTTGCTTGAACTGTTCAAGCAATAAGCTTGAAACTCAGTAGTTTCACTCATTGAAACTAACATGCTCTGTTAATTAAGTCTGTTTGATAACCTGGTTGAAACATGATGTAGTGAAAGATTTTGAACAAACTTGCAAAGTAATATGAGCGTTAAAGGTGTTGCATTTTGAAAATCTCGTATTATTATGGAATAGGATATTGCTTAAATAGGTACTGAAAATACCCACTTAAAAACAAATCACAGTAAAACTCCAATCAAATCAACTCCGATTCTCCGATTTGCTCATTATCTGAATTACTTACAAAAAAATTCCACCAAAATGACGTACGATACCGACACTTCACACAGCGACAACAACTTTCCCCGCTGAATGCTGGGATTACACCGAGGCAATGTTAGTGAGGGGAACGCATTGGTACATTTATAGTAGGCCGCGTGTAGTTCTAGTACTCAGGTACTATAAAGTAGCCCGCAGCAAACGTGTTAAAGAAGGCAAAAGCCATGGTAGTAGCAAAATCCAGAACATTTTCCTTGGTCAAGTAGACATCATCATCGTCTCCTGCGGTCAGGAAACATCATCATTGTGTTCGGTGATTGCAGCAAAATGTTGAATAACTCCTGCAGTGGCGTGGACGTAATTTCAAACGGTTTTTTTGTGATCTAGACATAGGCTGCATTATCATCGTCTCCTGTCGTCACAGACAATTGAAAAATTCACCTCTTCTAAACAATTTGTACACTCAAGAACTGTATGAAATGCCTCCAATGGTATTTTCAATAAAACTTCAACTTCAATAAAATTCTAATTATCCACATTTTTAACTATCCTAATGTGGGACGGTCACAGTTGATTCGGATAATCAAAGTTCTACTTTACTTCAAACAGTTTAATGACAATTGACAATTCAATATGATTTGATTTCAGGCACCATAATGATGTCAGGATGTGGAATCTTAACCAATGGAAAAGGCACAAGAAGAGAATATGGTGAATTTAATCTTGATGAACTCCGGGTAAGCTTAGTTTGTTCTCAAAAAGTTACTAATTGAAAAAAAAATACCTATTGATAAATTTTCATCTAACCAATTTTTTATTAAAAAGTTGTTTAAATTATTTAAAAAAATAAACCTGTTCACCTATATTTGCACTGTAACTATTACATAAAAAAAAATTATCAGGGTGAAATGCCATCCAAAATAATTTATTTCCTCAGTAGAAAACAAACTTGAATCCTGTTAAAAATGTTATCTGGATACAATATAGCGAGATGAGGCATACATTCACCATAATTAAACCAGGAATGTGTCGATTCGCGTTACCGATTGTTGATACCACCCATACTTGCATGTTGGTATCAATGGAGAATCAATCGGCAAAAGTCAATACCCGTACGCCCGTACAATCGGAAAATGACCGCAACTGACACAATCGATTTTTTAGGTATCGGTATCTGTATTGAGAATTGAAAAATTTTGGTATCGACACATCACTAATTTAAACAATTTGTATTCTTCAATTGTCAATATTGCATATTATTCTTTACTAGGTGAACCCGTGCGAATTTGCACGAATAATAAATTAGGATATTATAGCAACGTCAATAGACGTCGTTGTATTGACGTTGGTCTTGAGCTCGATCGTTGGCTATATGCATTCTAAGTTCTTTTGCTGTTCATTAGGAGTATTTTGCAGGACGGAACTAATCATGCTGAAAACTTGCGCGTATGGATTAAAATCAACCAAATGTTGAGTCAAAATGTGCATGAGTTCAGTGCTGCAAGAACCATTAGCTTTGTTTAGCATTCTTCCTTGAACAGCGGGTTTGACGTCCGTAGATATAAATTTAGGCATATGTGGGATTCTCCCTTTCTGACGGTTAAAAGGTGCCAATTGAGTGATAAAATGTGCACCTTATTCATGAAAGGCCCTCCACCACCGTTCTTCAATTTTAGCTCGAGTGCTGACCATTGCGAGCGCAGAGTTGTACGATCTAATGTTCTCTTTGTAGTTTCTGCTCAAATGATTTGCTCCATTAAGTAGGCTCTGGATATAATAGATTTCTTGGTTAGTGGTAGATTCACTTTTCTTTTATGGCAGCAGAATAAAATCCTTCACCTCGTCCTCTTTGTTCTTCTTTAAAATGTAGCGCACCACATTTCTGACATTTTAATGTCATCTCGCCAAGTGAATGCTGCTGAATTCTTGTATTTGTCAGTGTAATTTTGTAAGTACACGTTGCCACTAACTGTTCCAGCTCCTCGTCTGGGCTCCTTACGATTTGCATTGCAGGCCCTATGTTGACTACCGTGTCCGACCGGCAATATTTCTTTGTCGTCGGGTCCTTGACATGTTTCAACGAAAATATAATGTAAAACTTTTCTCCCGTCGTGTCCTATATAGGTAACATTCCTTTGCCGGGTTTCTAATTATTTAAACATGCAAACTGTTTACATTTCAAAACCAAACAAAACAGCTGGGATTTAATTTTTGTTTAACTAATGTAATGACATCTGTTTCAAAATATAATAACATTCAAATCAATCACAATGTTATCCTTATGGAAGGAACTGTGACGTTCCAAATCGCTCCTGCTAGCTTCAGTGGAGAAGGGGGGTTCAGTGAGGGCAGATAGTCACAAAAAAAAAAACAAAATTCTTTTAAACCAAAAATTAGAAATACAAATTTATTATCTGCCTCACCTCTTCGCAAAAGTTGCAAAAATCCTCAAAGTGTGAGATGAGGGTCTTCAGGTAGAAATTCAGGTTAACTTGCTCTAATTAAATCCCAGGGCTGAGTGAGGGTCAAGTAGAGGCTCCTTAGACCGTTGGACTCTATGCCGGTTGCAGCAGGCTCAGCCATCACGTGACCTAGTCATTACTCACGTAGGCCATGCTGACCACTAACTTGGAATTTCCTTAGTGCCTTCAATCTGGCAAGGCAAAATGCAACACAGCCATGCTGAACAATTGGTATCGGCTGGTTAGGAGCGCGCATCCCTACCAAGAAATTATGTCAAGGTGATCAGTCTTGACTCCGATCAGTATAATTGTTGCAAAATGTTGCACACACTCCCCCGCCAGAAGAAAATTGCCTCAATTTTCTCTTCGTTTAGTGGTATGGTTTGAGGTCCGACACATGCCATGATCCTAAGGGGTTGCCCTTTAAGTCTTTAAGGTCATAGACAACTGGTGACACTCTCTTGTGGATGAGATAGGGTCCAGTGTATCTGGGAGCGAGCTTTGCTGAAAAGTGAGCTGCAGCATTAGATATGGGAAAGTTTCTCTTTAGAACCAAGGATCCTTCCTTGAAGACTACCTCTCTTCTTCGTAGATTATACCTTTCTGCTTGTTTCTCATGAGCCTTCCGAAGCTTTCCATTAACATCTTTGTAGATATTCTTCAGTTCCTTCCACCTATCTCCATACGCAGAAGAGTCTTCTACTTGGGGAGCTTCTTCCGATGAGTTGGTTGGATCCGCATCTTCATTGATAGCGATCAACTCTCGTCCAAAGTTGAGGTATGCAGGACTGTAGCTGGTGGCTTCATGTTTTGCCGACCTGAGAGCAAATCCGTATTTAGCTATGTTACGGTCCCAGTGGCGGTGATTCTCTCCAATGTAAGCCCTAAGCATGGGTCCTAAAGTTTTGTTAACCCGTTCGGTCGGATTGGCTTGAGCATGCCTCCTTGCATTGTACAAGAGCTTTATATTATAACTCCTGGCTAGTTCTTGGACTTGCTTTCCTCTAAACTCTGACCCATTGTCACAGATTATGTAGGAAGGGACTCCGAAAAGCATGAACACGTCATCCTCCAGTTTCTTGGCAATGGCGCTCGCAGTAATCTCCCTCAAGGGAAACAACAAAGGAAATTTGGTAAATGTACACATCACCACGAATAAGTACTTGTGGCCCGCAGAAGATCTTGGAAGCGGTCCGAGGACGTCAGCACTAATCATCTCAAAGGGCTTAGCAACCCCACGATAAGACCCCATGAAGCCAGAAGGCCTCTGCTGATCATATTTTACTTGCTGACAGATCTTACAATGATTAACATATCGAGCGATGTCTTGCTTCATCTTGGGCCAGTAGTAGTTTTCTTGAATTCTTGCATATGTCTTGTTGATGCCCAGGTGTCCGGCAGTAGGCTCATCGTGATACTGTAACAAAATTCCTCCTCTATCGTCCTTAGCCACTACCTTCTTCCATCCTTCCTTGTCATCCTCAATGGGTTTCTTGGTAGAAATAAGTTTCCAGAGTTTTCCATTCTGAACTTTCCAACAGGGATAGTCATTAGGCTTCTCTTGTACTTCTCGGCACATTTTCAAGTACCACTTGTCACGTCGGCTCTCCTCTTCATCTCCTTCAGCTAACTCCTCTTGGGGTTCTTGATCCTCTGATTCCAGGTGATTCTGATTTTCAGGCTGGTGATCCACAGCATAGACTTGGGTCTTCCCTTCTTCTTCTTCGAATAATGTAGTCCTAGAGAGAAGGTCAGGCACTACATGTTCCTTCCCCTTGCGGTGCACAAGGTCGAAACTATACGGCTGCAACCGCAGCGCCCAACGAGCAAGTCTCCCCTGAGGGTCTCTCAGATTGTGAAGCCACAATAAGCTGTAGTGGTCAGTAATGATTGTGAAGTGTGTTCCTTCCACATAGGGCCGAAACTTCTCAACTGCCCAGATCACTGCGAGGCATTCCCGCTCTGTAGCAGAGTACTTTTGTTCTGCCTTTGTCAGTGTTCGGCTTGCATAGGCAATTACATTTTCTCCCAGCGGCTCATTAGTAATTTGGTCCTTAAGCTCACTCTGTTGACTTAGCACAGCACCAAGTCCCACTCCTGAGGCGTCACAAGAAATAGAGAAAGGTTTAGAAAAGTCCGGACATGTCAGAATTGGGGCTTTTACTAAGCAGCTTCTGATGTCCTCAAATGCTTGTTGTGCCTCATCTCCCCATTCAAACTTTTGCTTCTTCTTGAGCAGATTGGTCAGCGGGTACATTCGTGTGGCAAAGTCGGGTATAAAGCGCCTGTACCAGGACGCTGTTCCACAGAACTGCCTGACTGCCTTTTGATTCTTCGGAACCGGAATATTAATGATGGCTTCCACTTTTCCAGGGTCAACTCTTAATCCTGCCCGATCCACAATGTACCCAAGATAATGGAGCTCTGGTCTACAAAAGTTGCACTTGTCAGCATTAACTGTCAATTTGGCTGCTTTTAGGCGTTCAGCTATCTTCCCCAATACCTGTAGGTGGTGCTTAAAAGACGATGTGACAACAACAATATCATCCAAGTACACGAATACGTTTGGCTCTAGATCTGCTCCTATCACCGAATCTATGAATCGCTGCCATGTCGCCGGAGCGTTATGTAAGCCAAAAGGCATAGTAATAAATTCATAGAGCCCTCTGCCAGGGACAGTGAAAGCCGTTTTGTCTCTACTTTCTGGTGCCAATGGGATCTGCCAATAGGCAGACTTGATATCAATAGATGACAGGTACTGCGCATCTCTCAAGCGATCCAAAATTGTCGTGACAAATGGGAGGGGGTATGCATCACGTTTAGTTACTGAATTCAATTTCCTATAGTTTACGCAAAAGCGTTTCGTACCATCCGGCTTGTCGATGAGAACAATCGGTGAGGACCATCCACTTTTCGAGGGTTGGACAACTCCAAGTTTCAACATTTTGTCTAGCTCATCATAGACTTCTTGGAGGCGGGCTGGTGACATAGGGTAATATCTTTGTTTTATTGGTGTAGCATCACCAGTGTCTATTAAATGTTCCACCAGGTTAGTCCGTCCGAGAGTAGTATCTTCATTCTTAAAATTCTTCTCAATGAAATCTCCTAACTCCTCCTTTTCTTCCTCACTGAGATACTCCTCAGATTTTATACCACTTGAAATGTTGATTGCGGCCACACCTGCTTTCGGTCTTGAAAATTCCCACGAAGTATTTGACATGTCGGTAACTATCTGCATTGAATTCCAGAAATCAATACCTAAGATCAAGCTATGCTGCAATGATGGCACAATCATTACTGGGATATTTTTTGTTCTATCTTCCAGGGTAATTGGCACTATCATTTGGCCTGTGATTGAATGTTTCTGAGCATCAGCGGTCTCCATCCAGCGATTTTCTAGCTTCTGCATTTTGGCCGGTACTTTTTTAATCCACTGAAGTCCATCCTTCCCAAGTATAGTGTGGGATGCTCCCGAGTCCAACAAAGCCCTAACCTTTTTCCCAAAAATCCTAACATCTAAGTATGGACGCCTATCATTTACTTTAAACTGAAGTAGGAAATCGATTTTGTTGAGTTCAGGTTTTAGTTTTTGAAGGGAGTCAACATGATCTGGCGAGCTGACCCCCTGCCTTACTCGTTTTTTGGCGAGCATTTTATACATTTAGTCTTTATCACATCCTGTTGACCACAGCCGTAACAAAACCTTTTACGAGGCTCCTCACAATCAACATGACGATGGCCAACAACACCACAATTCCAACATTTAGTGTTTGCATTGGGGACCTTAGGAGGTCTAGAGGGTTGTAACGCTGCTACCTTTGAGGGCGAGAATGTCTTTCGCTTGTGGTATTGAGCGCAAGCTAAGTCAGGCTCCAATGGAGAGGAATTTCCTGAAACAGACCTAGGCAACAAAGATCTCAGTCGGCCTGCCTCCGCTTTTCGACCCATGAACCGAAGTTCTTCAATGCTGTTTATGTCAAACATAGCGAGTCTATCCTGGAGCTGAGGATTAAGATTATTAAATATCTGCTTTAACTTCACCTGTTCCGGTACATTCTCCGATAGTCTAGAGTATAGGCCCTCCATCGCTGCGATAAACATGTCAATTTGTTCTTGGTCACCTTGCATTCGGGTAAATATTTCATGATGGAGTCGGAACTCATAATCAGGAGCCTGAAAAACAGTTCTCATCTCAGTACATAAAGCCCTCCAGGAGCTTATCCTGCCTACTGTCGACCGATACCATACAAGTGCAGATCCCTCAAACAAATCAACAGCTGATTCAAATAACTCTTGTTCGCTGACTCCACGAGCTCTTCTTAATTCTTCCACTCTCTCCAGGAATGATCCTACACTTTGCTTTGATTCATTGTTATATCTGATGCCCCATTTATACACTGGAACAGCGTTGGTCTTGTGGTATTTTGCGCTTGCATTAAACATTTCCTTGGTAGGCTGGAGATCAGAAGATAGCATTTCCTCCTTCCTTAAATTCAATGGTGGAAGCCCCGGCAGCAAAGTTTCAGATGTACTTGTCTTGACAGGCTGCTCTTGTTGTACAAGGTCCTTTGTAGCATCAACTTTGATTGGTCCATTGTCCTGACCCAAAAATTCATCAACCAATTCAACGTTAGATTTCTCCGCCAAATTTAATTTGGGATCAGACACAGCTTCAGGTACTACTTTCTCCGCAGATGTTTTCTTCTCCTTAAACGACTCCAGCATACTCTTGGTTTTCTCTAGCAGTGTTGTCTTCCCCTGCTCACCATCATCCGCTGAAGCTCCGACAGGAATCCTCTCAATACGTGCATACAAATGTTGCAACCTTGCAGTCAACCGCTGGTATTCATGATCCTTTCCATTGCCCTCATAAGAATCTACTAGTAAACCAATATCTTCAAGTTTTTCAGTGCATTTCTCCAATTCTGACTCAGGGTTCAACTGGTTGACTAAAGACTCCCTCACCGGAACATTAGTTGAGAAACATCGGTTAAGTCGTATTCTAAGGTCGTCCGCAGTACCCACATGGTCAACACCTCTTATCATCAACTCATATGCGACTTCATCCTTCCTAAGGTGGTTAGCTGTCATGTTGAGTGCAAATTCAAAGTTTTAACCAACAGCAGAAAATCTTAGTTATACAAACACCCGCAAAAATAATCCAAAACCTGTTTAAACTACCTCTAGGTCACAGTAAACACAATATATCAACCTCTGGGCAGCCACCAGATAACTTCCTTCAATATCAGAGTATGGCAAACTTCCAAAAATAATCTCTATAATCCTAGCACCAGGTGAGTTGAAGAAGTGCTAAATGCCCCACGTTGTTGAGCGCCATTTGTGACGTTCCAAATCGCTCCTGCTAGCTTCAGTGGAGAAGGGGGGTTCAGTGAGGGCAGATAGTCACAAAAAAAAAAAAAAAAAATTCTTTTAAACCAAAAATTAGAAATACAAATTTATTATCTGCCTCACCTCTTCGCAAAAGTTGCAAAAATCCTCAAAGTGTGAGATGAGGGTCTTCAGGTAGAAATTCAGGTTAACTTGCTCTAATTAAATCCCAGGGCTGAGTGAGGGTCAAGTAGAGGCTCCTTAGACCGTTGGACTCTATGCCGGTTGCAGCAGGCTCAGCCATCACGTGACCTAGTCATTACTCACGTAGGCCATGCTGACCACTAACTTGGAATTTCCTTAGTGCCTTCAATCTGGCAAGGCAAAATGCAACACAGCCATGCTGAACAATTGGTATCGGCTGGTTAGGAGCGCGCATCCCTACCAAGAAATTATGTCAAGGTGATCAGTCTTGACTCCGATCAGTATAATTGTTGTGAGGGCAGCCCACGCCTTTAAAAAGACATATTTCTAAAATCTAAAGCCAGTTTGCACATCTACACACCTAGACGAACATTTTGGTATATAATATGTGGGGTTAAATCTTAAAACAAAAAAGCCTTATTGTTCACAAAGTTTTATGTCGCGTATTAAATATATAGATTACTTTATAGTCAACTAACAACACACTGTTTGGTATAGTATCATGTTATTCTAGGTTGGAGATCGTATTGGGATGATGCGCAAGTCCAACGGCAATCTGCACTTGTATATAAACGGACTAGATCAAGGTGTAGCGGCCACCAAAGTTCCTACATTGGTCTGGGGCGTAGTCGACCTCTACGGGATGACAGTGAAGGTAATAATTTCAAATGTCAACTTTTCAATCTTAGTCAAATAAGATAAACCATAACTGTGTAAATTTTTTAAATAAAAAGAATACGCATGTTGGAAAATGATCAACCTAAGAGGTATTATTTTGCATAATTTCTATTACTACTGATATGATACTTCTGTTGTTAACCATCATGCACCTCATAACCGTAATTACCTTGTAAGCATTTTATCAAATTATTCCAACTTTTAAGTACCGTACTTGAATCATTCTCCAAACTTTTTAATAGAATTTTTTTACCTGTTATAGACATATGCTACTTTACTGTACTTAACTTTGAAATGGCGACCATACGAAAGTAGGGATGAATGTATCGTACTTAGTTTAAATAATGTGCAACAAATGAAAGGAAAAGAGTAAAAATAGATCTGATCTAATGTTTTTATTTCCTAATTGGGGTTTCATAAACCAAGCAGAATTAGGACCAAGTCCTGTCTTCCATTCTGCCTGGCGGGGTACGGCCCTTGATGGAACCATTCCGGCATTTGCCTAAGTGAGGAAAGAAACCGTACAAACTCTCCTCAGAATGGTCGGCCTGATAGTCAGACCTCCCGAATGTGAAATAGCATGATGCTACCTCACTCGGTTGATTAAAATTAATACAAAGATACTTAATACTAGGTTATCCTAACAAACTACCTATAGTATACAATTAATTATACAAGATTATACTTAATATTAGTCCGTTCTTCAATATTTGACTTTTTCTTCTTTTTCTTTTGCTGCACTACAGGTGCTTTGAGTCTTGCTAGAATTCTTCTCCAATAATAGTTTCTACATCGCAATTTCTCCGATTCTGTTCCTCCAGAGTCTTCACTTCCAGTTCATCCTCCATTGTTCAGATTCTCTTCCATGTATTCATCATTCTGCGTTTATGATAATCCCCTTTTGCTTGCTGGATTGTATCTTCTTTTCTTTAATGAAGCATATTTCCATGCAATCTCACATATTTGAGGATCTTCCTTCTTTCAAAGATCCTTGGTATTTGTTGGTCCTTGTAATTCTTTTCTGGATTTCTTCACTGGTTTCATTGTATTCCGTTTTCCATCATGTTTCTCAGTTTTTCCTTTTTACTGGATTAAATTTCAACAAAATATTACTGCTTCTGTTGTATGATAATGGCTGAATAATGTAGAAAATTTGTTTCTATAGAAACTAAACATCCACTGATTGTCATATTACTTTGAGAATACTTCAACTATTTCACTATGATAACTACCTGGAATTCTGAGGGATAAACAGCATTATATCACCTACAAATATGTTAAATTATTAAAAATGAGTTCAAACAAAATTTTTTTAGCAAATTAATTGATCTAATAAAATATGAAAAATAAAAGTAATAGTAATTTAAAATAAATAGGTTTCTGAAATGTATTTTTTATAGCATTTTTTTCTTCATCCTTTCATTGTCAGCAGTATTTGTTTTTACATTTCTAGTAAGGGAATGGTCCAATCTCTGGATTTTTTAATATTTGTTATACAGCATAATAATTAGTAATTTTGTTGGAAAAGGAGTGAGACACATCTCCAATCTCCTGCATGGACTCTAAATATGTTACAAAGTGCAGCAAATTTTTAAACAGGCATTTTTTAAATTAGATATTTGATAGAAATAGACATTCCATCCCTATGTTAAAGTTGCCAGTTTATAAATCAAAATGGAGGTAGGAGAAGTGAGCCAATGATAGATTGTGCTGAAAAATTATCGGTTATGACAAATATTTTGGCTTTTTTTAATTCAGTCAACCTGATTGGAGAACTTATTGTAAGCTTTAGGATTTGTTATGTGCCCTCAACCATCTCAGTAACAAAGAATTCTGACAAAAACAGAGTGTAAGAAACTGCGCAATTTGTGACTATTTAAAAATTTCATAGTTTGTGCTGAACTCTGTTGTCAATCATCTGAAATGTTTTAAGTTTACATTTGTTTACATCAAAACAGATGGCCATGATACAATTTTGTTTACATAGGCCTACATAAAAAAAATGGTTATCTGTTAGTTATTGTGGTTGAAATACTACTAAATAATTACTGTATCTGACTGATTTGCACAAGGCTGGATCACCAAGTGTGTAATTTAACTACTTAAATTGGTCTTAATCCACAAGGTTTTCTATATCCTGCCTCATATTACTGTATTGGGTGGTTTGTGCATATATTATAAGTATGTGTAGTTGCAAAATTCAATTATATATTTGAGCTATTACCCAACCCCTTACTAATCTGCAAGTTTACCATAGCGGAAAATTTATCATTCATTCAGCAACTAACGATTTATGTCTGAAGTTTAATATGAAATTTAATACTTACATTTGTAACTGTTTAATTTGCAGGTGACCATAGTCGATCGAGATGAGAGAGAAGAACACAATCTTATAACCAGGAGGAACACAGCACTGAGAGAACACACTCTTAATGGTGAGTAGTTTTGTTTCATACTGACTGTGCACTCAGTTATAATGTTGAATTTGGTTTCATGATATATAGTGGCCTTATATGATATCTTTTTCATAATATTATTGAAAAAATTATAAGTGATATGATGATCTTCTGAAAATAAACTAATATTTGCTTTGTTACACATATTCCACCTAACCGCAAATTTTTATTTAATCCAAATCCACTATTCCGGCTAAAATATCGTTCAAGGATAAAAAACAGAGTACATGAGATACATGGCGCAGTAAAATCTGTGGTTTACTGTGCAGGTTAACTAGATTTTTGTATAATCTTTATGTTTAATAACTGCATTTTAAAGGAGGCTCTCTTTAAAATGCAGTTATTAAATATAGGGAGGAAAAAAATATGAACAACAGTACTGTAAATGTTTGTCAAATTAAGTTTAATTCTGTTCCAAAGATTTATTGACCTTCATTTGATACACGGGAGATTGCTTATCCGGATCGGACACATTGTGAGCTGTTGTCAGCTCAGCTATTCTTGATCACTGGGCTGTTTAGGTGGTCCTGACAAAGGAATCTTTTTATCGTAGTCAGAAAGTTTATTGTCCCACCCATTTAACACCTTTTCACTATAAAATACATTCAGCTTACAGCTTTGTATGAACTTAGTATATTGTAATGCTAAAACATTCAATGAGGAACTAATATACAAACATTTGCCACACAGATATGCCAGAAGAAGACGCTGTAGACCGACTTATGTTCCACACTAAGTGTGGAGGACATGCAGCTGTCATCAACAACAGTAGAACTGCGCACAGGCCAAAGTGAGTGCTGAACAAACAATACAGTTTTAAGCGTAACTAATATTTTAAAGAAAAGCCAACTAGCTGGTTAGGAATTGTTATGAAATAGATTTCAGCTAGCTTACCTGAAAAAGAGTCCAGGAGATAATTGATACACAAATTAAGACAAAATATAAGTGTTAAGTTTTGTGATACAGTATACTCCCTCTTATCCGGACACCTTTTAACCTAACATCTTCTAATTAGATATAGGTTTAGCTGGACTACATTCGGCAGAAGTGACATCTCTTTAACCAGACAATTTTTATCAGCTTAACAGTTTAACCGTACTGGATCTGCAGGAAGTGGGCAGCATAACTTTTCTCGTTGGAAATATTTGAGACTAGTGTTTAAGTGTCTATATTTAAATCCAGACCTCCAGGACAAAAGCCTAACTACTGGGCTAGTCACACTATTTAAAATAAGGTCAATAGTTTCTACCATAATATGCAACAATATTATGTTTACATGTCAAGAAACAAACTGTACAAAACATTGATTGTTCTGCAGTGCAATGGATGATTTCAACAATGGTGTAGTGTTAACGCATCGTCCGCTCAAACCAGACGAGTTGTTTGAGGTTAGGTTGGACAAGATGGTGACCAAGTGGGCCGGCTCTATAGAGATCGGAGTCACCACCCACTCGCCTACAGAGCTGGAGTACCCTTCCACTATGACCAATGTCAGGTCAGTGTTATGTCTCACTACTTGTAAATTTTTATTTTTGTAGAATCAATAAGAGGTTATGTCTATTTTTATGTCTATTTCTCCAGGCCTTTTAAAATTGTTCATTTCGTAAATTACTAACCAAATTTAACATTACAGATCTGGTACATGGATGATGACAGGCAATGGAGTAATGCACAACGGCACAACAATCATTGACGAGTACGGGCAAAATCTGGACAGGTTACAGGTAAGCTGTTTAAAGTGTAAAGTCTACATTTAGTCTGGGTTTGATACAATCCTTACAAAGCTCAAACAGCTTACCACAATCGAAAGTTATTAGGGAAAGTACTTAAGAAATCAACTGTAATTTTCTGAAACAGTATTCAAAATATTAATATGGAAAAAGTCTAAACACAGTTTTGCACAAATAGTAATACTACAAAAATTAAAAGTTTACATAGTATCCTCACAAATTAATCCATGTTTAACAGTAAAATTTGGATTTAAAACTAAATATATATTGTTTTCATGAAAAATAAATTCAAAGATCCACTACTCAAGAACATCAGAGGTATCAGACCATTCCAAACCTAGGCAATTTTGGTGATGTACTGCACAACCTATTTGAACTCTCATATTTCATGATTTTCAAATCTTATAAATTTCCTGGATGGGTAAAACATTTGTCTAACGCATATTGAGAGTTATCTTGAATTATTTAAACTTTAAGCCTAGCTCTCAGAGAGGCTGAGAGTTTATTGAAAAAAAAATCAAGTTTAACTCTGGATAAACCTACATTATGCTTAATTCTTGTGTTGTAGTTATACATTTCAGATCTATCACAAACATGATTCTGTCCAGGTGGGAGACAGAGTAGGTGTAGTGCTAAGAGAGAGTGGCACTCTACATTTCCTAGTGAACGGTGTGGACCAAGGGGAGGCGGCCACTAACATCCCTCCGCGGGTGTACGGGGTCATCGACCTGTACGGACAGGCAGCTCAGGCCACCATAGTGGACTACAACTGTGTGTGTTGTCTAAACAGTCCTGACACTCCTGTAACCAGCCTCACGTCCCGCAACAGACAGACACACGCGTAAGTCATCCACTGATAAAATATAGCTTACGTTATTATTTTGAGCAGCAACGCCACCCTTGCTCTATCCCACGTTCACCATACAGGTCTAATAGGAGATAGGTGTGTCATTAACATTTCTAAAAATTCTTTTTGTTGTGCAGGTTGTGCAACTGTCCTCACGACCTTTGTGATGGGTCTAAAGTACATTTTACCGTAGTTACTTATTTCTGTAACTAGGTTTTTCAAGTATGGAGTTTTAATTTTTTAATTTGTTTTTTAACTTTGGGGTACTTAAAAGTAGTAAAAAAAGCAAGAAAAAGTTCAAAGTCAAAAGAGCATATTGTAGTTCCTGATTTTTTAAAATCCACTGGCTTTTTGAAATACTTAGCTTATAGAAATTCCGTACTGCACGGCATTGTGAACTTGGAAAATTGTATGGGTGTGTATTTTAAGCTGGATATGAATGCAGGATGTATAGGTAGTTGACCTGTTGAGCTTTGTTTTTGAAGATAAGCTAGTAGTCAGGGTTTACTTCTTCCTTATAATAGCAAAAACAGTGATGACAATACCGGGACGTGAGTAGGTTCTAAAATTGGCAAAACCGGGACGTGGAGTAGGTTCTAAAATGTCAAATTAAGTAATGGACACATAGTTTACCTGCAAACGACTTTAAAATGCAATGCATCTTGATTCACCCAAAAACTTATAATTTCAAAACTAGTTTTCCATTACTCAAATCCAATTGAATTTTACAACTTAATAATTTTTAATTAAATATTAACATTGGTGTTTGCAGGGACCTCCATTTCCACCATGTTCACGGTCGAAACGCTAGAGTTTCCAACGGAGGAAGGACAGCCTCGCGACCTCGAGCACTTGGGGAGTTCAACGATGCCATCGTGATGAGCAATCGAGCACTCAACGAGGACGAGATGTTCGCTGTTGTCATTGAGAAGATTGTTGACAGATGGTCTGGCTCTATAGAGGCTGGTAAAGATATTTTTCATGAAAACAAGTTAATGAAACTGCCTGATAATTTTGTTAAGTCAGATGATATTTCAAGTCTAAGGTAAAGAGTCCTTGGAGGCTGGCAGCCATTTGAGATTAATTTAAAACAGGCGCTGAAGGGTTACATATAATCTATAAATATTTGTCCAAATACTAAAGTGATTGTAATTTAAATATCTAAGGCTCTGCGAAATTAGAAATTTTCTTTTTAGTTGTGAAATTGTTTTATGAGGTGAAACAGCTAAGCTCCAAGGACTCTTAAAGGTCTTTGATCTTAAAACATAAGATCACCTAAACGTCTTGAGAAATCACTAAACACTCATGAATTCCTGAACATTTTTTTGTAAACTTTTTACTATTGAGTTTTTTTTAAACCTTGTTTATAAGTGAGATGAATTTGCTTGGCTGCCGTTATAATAGTTTCAATCCACAAAAGGCAAAGCCAAGATTATTCAAGGTCAGTGTTTACATGTATCCATCTTGTACGCTTTGCAATGTTTACAGGAGTGACTGCCATCAGACCAGAAGACCTAGAACTGCCTGGGACAATGACTGATCTGGACCATGACACTTGGATGCTTTCTGGTGATTACCCTTACTTTGTAATTCTAAATAATACTTTACTAGTACATACTGCAATTGCATTTATTTAAGATGAAATCATTGTAATGTAATGCCCTTCTTGTACTAGGCTATTTATTTGTTAACATGATAAAGATGCTGAGTCCTGTAGACTGTGTAATATAAGTTAAAGATGCATTTGACAATAATATTGATATTGAGCTGTGCCAAATAGATGAGAGTAAAATAAATGATCATTTTGCAAAATATTGTATGTTGTGCATCAAAGTCAGATGCGATAAGTCCAAGAACCATGACTAGAACAATAGTTCGATTCCAAGCAATATCGTTACCAGACCCATATGCCATTGAGCTATCAATAATGGTTTATGTTAATTGACAAAAGAGGCTACCTAAAAATTATCCATCATCTTCATTTTATAGCTAATAGGGATTTAGATGTAGTTATCAACCACTCAAGAAGATTTCATGCTTCAGGTTCGTCAGTGATGCAGAACGGAGTGACGTTGAAGCACAACTACGCCCTAGACCTGGACACTGTACAGACAGGTGCTGTGGTGGGGATGAAGCGACACGTCGACGGAACACTTCACTACTACCTGGATGGGGAAGACAAAGGAGAGGCTTGCTCTGGGTTGCCACCACATGTTTACCCTGTCATAGACCTGTACGGTCAGTGTGCTCAGGTTGGTGGGAAACTTACTGCTTAGTTCATATCTTTGAGGAACTGCGGACATTTCCATAAAGTAAAATAGTAGTTTAAGCAACGATCGTGTAAAGATAGTCTGTACGATACACTTATAAATTTAAGCACAAGCTTCGACAAGTGCCTTAAAAACTTTAATAAGGCAGATATTAACTTAAATTAGCCCTTTAGTTCTTGTTGGACTGCACATTTTAACTACCTAACGTAAGAAATGAAATATAATCCTCGTTTGCCAGGTATCTATCGTTAGCCCAAGTCAGCGACCACCAGAACCACCCAGCAATGAGAACAGCTGCAGTCAGACTTTGTACAGTCACACTGAAGAGTTCCTAGCTCAGACTGCACTGCCTAATCAACCTCCCCCTTCACAAGTTTTGCACAGGTCAGTTGTCAGCATTGACTGTACCAAGTATATAAGAGCAAATCTATATTGTATTTAGGAGTGATTATTATAGTCTGAATGATGGAACGTGGCCAACCTTTTAGGCCTAGGCCAGCCCCTGGTAGATAAAGCGGCAGGAGACAGGTTCCATCCCACAGAGTATATAAGCTTGAATTGGGATAGGCAGATCATTAGTCTTGGGGTGTGACACAGTCTCAAAATGTAGAATATCCATGGAAAAAAATTTATGACTATTTACAATCCATTTTATCTTTTTTAGTTCCTGGAGAACTACACTGTAGCAGGTCTGTATAACATATGTGAGGCTTGGTTTAGTTCATTGGGGGGGAGGTTACAACTCTGTGTGGGGAGGTTGATCTTACATCCATGCGTCCTTACATATTAGTTATGTATTATAATTTATAGTTTATTTTTCACTAATACCCTGTAGCTTTAGTATTCAGTTTTCCCTCGAATTCCCTTTGGACACTCTGACTAATAAAGCCATGTTATGTACAAAAAAAATTGCTGTTGTAAGCAGATTCCAGTATTTTTTTTTCAAACAAAAGTTCAACATACTCTCTAAATTTGATGATATTACATTCACCCTGAACTCAAACATTTGCATTAATTTTCTGTTACCATTGACCATAAACTCTAAATTGATTGAAGATTCTTCAAAGTCAAAATTAAAACATGTAGCTAACTAGCTAGAAACCTCGTTAATAATTCTGTTAGTGAGCTGTATTATTAATATAAAGACATTTGTGCAGGTTGAGTCCATTCTGTGGCAAGAACATAACGTTGGAGCCTTGTGGTTTGATTCGTCGCAACAAGAACCAACCCAACAACGGCCTCGTGTTTACTGCATTGCCTCTCGGGCTGGACGATCTGTTTGAGGTAAAATAACCTATTTGTAACTAAATGTTATTGGTGTGGATACCTTATTTATCAGGAGTGGTTGGAATCAGCAATTATTTCTATACCTTTTTTTAAGGTTTGTAATGGTGCGCTACTTTTCTTTAAATTAATTGTTGACTAGTGTTAGGCCTACAACACGGTTAATCACACCAGTTACATATTTAATTTTCAAATTCAAATTCAAATTCAAATAGTTTATTGCCATTAAGTATACATGTCATACAATAGGCCAGGTCAATGGAGATAATATACAATTCAAAGTACAATGTACAGAGTCAAGTGTAAATAGATGAACATACTATACTAATAAACTAATAATACTGGGTTTTTGTACAAAACTATTTGAGATGTATTGATAATGATGATAATAATACTGTTTATAGTTCAATTTATTAGTTCACTTACTTTAGGCTAGTAGAGCCTTCCTCTTATCTCAGGTTAATCGTGTGGTTCGGTGGGGCTTATTTCATTTTAATAAATAATGAAGACTCAGAACATAAAAGATTGTTTTATTAACTTCATTTAGACTGAACCAGATATTTTAAATTTACATTTTAGAATAAGTTTATACAACAGAAAATCTGTACTTATAATTTGGTTGTTGAAAGTGAAGTTAATTTACATTGTAAGAAACCAAATTTACTTTAGACTATAGAATATTTAAGGGTACTTTCCTGTTAAAGGGAACATTCATTATTATCAATGGTTTTTTTCTCAAAATATCGATATTTTTGTTTTCCGATCCATTACAAATTGACAAGAACTAACTAACTGATCTTGTTTAGGCTAAAACAGTCTATTTTATGGATTAAGAAATGAAACTTTTCTAAGCTAAGCTAACCGTTTGATAACAGAAAAGGCAAGTTAAACACGGAATTTTTAAATGTTACAGCAAGTTTAGTTAGTTATGTTAGGTTATTTTTTTAGAACAGTTTCATTTTATTATTGTTTGTTGATACTGAACAATATTTATCGTAGTTGTCAGCTGATATATTTAAATTTGTTAATATCGATATATATATAAAAAAAACCATCGATAATAATGAATGTTCCCTTTAACAGGAAAGTACCTATTTAAGTAGCCATAAGCACTAAGTTTAAGTATAAACACTTAGCTTAGGGTTAGAGGTGAGATGAGATGGTTCACAGCCTGTAGTGTAGATAGGTCACACTCCGAGTCTAGCTAAGTTGATGTGCAAGTCCCCATGTCCGATGCCGGTGTCATGGTGACGTCCTCCTAGCCGAACTTCTCCTCAAGCGGCGTTTAAGTTATTTTAGAAAAAATGCATAGACCACGACTTGACTATCTTCACTAAGAAATAAAAGTTCTGACTCGGTGTAACCCGGATTAAACTTTATGTATTAACATTGACATGGTGGCTATTAACTGGTGGAGTACATAAAAATGATTCTTAGCAAGATAAAGACTAGAGTAGAAGTGTACTTTATTAAAACTAGCGAAGAAGTGCAGAAGCCTTGCTTCGTCATCGAGCGTGCGCGTCAGTTGCTCAACCATAGAACTGCAAACACCATGAAAACGGAAAATTTCTGTTTTTGAGCTTAAAAACGTTATGTTCCAACCCACTCCAAATGGGTGCGCAGAATACTGATTTGTGTCTAATCCCGCCCTTCGGCTTCGTCAACGACAAACAGGGCTCTCATCTCGCCATCTTAGAACATTTACGATTAATCCTTTTTCAAACCATTTGACTCTAATTTAACCACCATGTTACCTAACTGAGCGTCCATTATTTAATTGAATATTGATAATTTGTTTAGTTACCGTACTGTTCCGATAATTAATCATTTGTTTATACTCGATTATTACTATTTATTATTATTTATTTAATTATTTATTGGACCCGTTACAGGTTATGAAAAGGCTAACATTTACTAAATTGCTAAGCATTACTATCATATCTGTTTATTATGTTGTAAACGAATTAAATATATACTCCTTGTTATTAAAATGTTAATGAAATATGTTGTAGAAGATTTAATTGTTTCATCAGTAACTAACTATAAGGGTATGTTGTAGGTTGCAATAGATCAGTGGGTTGGTCAGTGGGCTGGCAGTTTGGCTATTGGAGTCACCTGTATGTGTCCCAATGATAAACTCTCTCCCACCATAGCCGGCATCAAGGAGCCTACGTGGTATATTACAGGTACTAAATAATATCATTCTTTTTAGAAACTGTTGTATTAAGTATGTTCTTTTAGTCATATGATTTATTTGTGTTTAAATATCTTTTGTTGACAGATGTTTTTTGAAAACATGTTTTGGTAAACATTGGTTTAGTTAGAAATAGAGTTTGTTGAAACAAGATGTGTGTTTAATATTCTTGTATTAGAAATAGAACATGGTGGCAGCTTAGTGGATTTTTATCGAACTGAAAGTCTAAAACCACGCATAATGTCAAGTAAGGGCAGAAAAAAACAAAATACTCGGAGGCACAGGTATGAGGATAACGGTGAGGACGACTCCCAAAGTGAACTCAACTACGTTTCAGAAAGGGACTCTAGAAAGACTAAAGATGAGTCACGAGGTTTTGCATTGGGACATACGAACCGAGAAAATGATGCAGCTATGTATACTCCTACTCCAATGGTCAATATCACGTTACCAACTCCAGAAACGTTCTCTTTTACTCCGAATGAGTGGCATTCCTGGAGGAATCGCTTTCAAAGGTACAGACGGGGTTGCGGTCTGGATAGCACTTCCGACACTCGGCAAATCGATGTACTTTTGTTTGTAATGGGTAGTAGAAGTGAAGATATTTTCGATTCGTTTTCACCAAAACCTAATACTTATGACGAGGCTCTTAGGGCCTTTGATGAATACTTTGTGCCAAGACGGAATATAATTTATGAAAGATCAAAATTTTTGAGACACAAGCAAGGGAGTGATCCATCTGAAAAATGTATAACAGATTTGCATGGCCTTGCGAAAACGTGTGCATGGGGTGAACTAAATGATGAGATGATGCTTCTCGTCCTCATTATTGGTATGCAAGATGAGGGTCTGAGTGATAGACTCCAGCTGGAATCTCAATTGACTCTGGAGAAAGCAATTAATACCTTGCGCCAACATGAGGAGCTAGAACGCCAAAAACGTGAACTTGCCAATACTAATGTTTTTTGGTAAATAAAACGTCAGTTCAAAACGGTAGACCGAATCGGACAGAAGGAGTTTGTGACCAGAAATACATCGAGGATGCAGAAAATACAAAGAAGTCAGGAAATTGAACGAACCACGTTCCTACCTTGTGGACATTGACAAGAAAACCATTCGACGAAACCAGAAGTTCTTAGTTCCTGCACCATACTACGGAGAAGATTGCATTCTTTCAAACTGTTCATCTACGGCCCTTAATTGTCCATCTAACTCACGTGATCGTCCAGACGCTGGCACAGTTACCCATTACGGAAGGTCCATCAAGATACCGAGGCGGTACCGAGCTTCATGAAGATGTAGACATCTTGAGGCGGGATGTTGTATTAAGTATGTTCTTTTAGTCATATGATTTATTTGTGTTTAAATATCTTTTGTTGACAGATGTTTTTTGAAAACATGTTTTGGTAAACATTGGTTTAGTTGGAAATAGAGTTTGTTGAAACAAGGTGTGTGTTTAATATTCTTGTATTAGAAATAGAACATAAACATATTTAAATTTGTTTAAGAACTCCTATTGCATTATAAGATTTTTTTATACGCAACAGTGCAAATTTATTTTACTGTAACTCGGAATTTTTTATGTGCTATTTTCCCCCTGAAAAACTCATCCGTCCCTCATAACTCATAACACCAAGAAATGAATTGAGATAACGTTAATATTTTGGAATTCCTCCGCGGTTGTAAAAACGTCTTCATCACCTGTGATCGCGGCAATACCGGTACCTTGACATTCCCTTGTGATTGCATAAGCATCATCATTGTATCTCGCGATCATGCCTAAATTAAGAGCATCTTTTGTGATCGCATAGACATTGTGGTGTTGTGACGAACAATTGTTAGTTATGATAAGCGAAAATTGTGTTGAGTGTTAATAGAGTGTATGAATGTAACAAAAATATGTTTTAAGGCTACCGGTACTCATAAAAAAGTTTATAAATTATCTTACTGTGATATGTAAAATAAAATCCTCCCAAAAATCCCATTGGTGCAGGCTATCCCTTCTACTAGCCTAGTAACAAAACACATATTTGTTATTTTGCTGTTTTATAGGATATCATATTTTTTACTAGCACACAGGTCTTAAACTATTTACCCCGATCAATACACCACTGATGTTTCCTTAGGTGATGAGGTGTACCACAATAACAGAGTGATCCGGTCACATTTCTGTCGCTCACTGGCTTGGCTGAGGGCTGGAGCCAGGGTAGGCATCAAGCGATGTAGCGACGGAACACTGCATCTCTACATCAACGGACAAGACCAAGGCATCGCTGCTCACAATGTGCCTAAGGTAAACCTCACTCATTACATCTGATGTTATTTAAATAGGGAATAAGAGAATAAAGAGGATAGCAGCTAGCTCGCCTTGAAGAAGTACAGATAGGCTATAAAACATATATAAGATAAACTGAACAGAAACACACACAATATTTTGTCCCCTGGGGAACTTTCTCTATCTCTACACTTGACAAAGTCGCCCAGGGGACGAAATATTGTGTGTTCAGTGTCCCCTTTCTATTTTCTATGGCCTACTTGTATGTCTTCAAGGTAGCTAACGGCCATCCTCCTTATTCTACAATTCAAAATCTTGGCCCAGAGTCTTACTAAATAGGGAATAAATATGATTTGTTTATGATAATATTTCAGAAACAATCCAATTAGACAAATTGAAATTTGCGTAGAGAAAGTAAAGACAGTTTACAAAGTTTACCTTTTTGTAAACTCTCTTCACTTTCTCTACACTTGGCAAAGTCGCCCAGCGGATCTATGGCCTACCTGTATGTCTTCAAGGTGAGCTAAATCCTATCCTCCTTATTCTACAGTTCAAAATCCTGGCCTAGAGCCTTACTAAATAGGCAATAAATACGATTTGTTTATGGAAATATTTCAGGAAAAATCCAATTAGACAAATTGAAATTTGCATCGTCTACTGGTTTGCTGTGGCAGCTATAACTGGTCATAAATGGGTTGTTTACTTCAGTATATAAAAATAAATGAGTAAGCATGCTACGTCATTGTGGGCTGATCCTCATTTGATTGAAACCAATCTTTCAATAAAATTGTTAATAACAATTAAATATTTTTGTGATGTGTTGTTTGTTGTCCACAGTGGTGCTGTTATGGCATTGTGGACTGTTACGGAGGTGTTGTAGCTCTCAGAGTGACCAGTAAGGTGACAGGGTCTGTGGCCAAGGGAGAGGCTACTCTAGCGGATCCGGAGGAGGAGCTCAGCTCTGCCTGTCCACCTTCCAAGAGGTACACAAGTCTTCATAACCATTCTTAGATTTACCTGCTTAAATAGTTACAAAGCTGGGTGTGCACTAAACCAGTAATACAGGACATTTATGTGAGTTATGATGATCTGGGAAAAAGTCTTTGAATTGTAACAGACATTGATTTAGAATCAAGTATGTTTAGTTATAGCAAATACCATTAGCATATTGCTGATTATCAATTTGCTAATATAATTTATATTATATTAATAAGATAAGATTAGATCATAGAACATGGTAATAATAATAAATCTATGGATATATGAACCTTGAAAAAAATATAAAATTAACTATCAAGTATTCATATGCACTTTACGGTTGATGAAACAAAATAGAATTTATGGTCTTAGGGATGGACAAGAGTTGTCGGAAGAGTTGAAGAAGATGGAAGACAGTTTAGGGAAGAGTCCACCCGAATGTGAGGCAACAGCGGAATACAGCTTGGATGTAAGTAACATACAACATGGAAAATTGCTGAACGATTTAACACACAATTGTTTTGTAAATCTTTTCATTCCAAGAGTTGTGAATTACTACAATAGAGTCTTGGCTATGCCATCTTACCTTATGTCATTATCTGACCTTTCTTGTCATCCGAACGTCCTTGCAGATGATTGGGAACCAAGAAATTGTGTGCTATTTCCACGTCGTATGACAATCCCTTTCTATAACGGATGATACAAGCCCGGATTTAGGCACCTGCTGCCAATTTTTTCGGATTGTTTCTATGCACAGCTTATTTACACAGTTTGTTTGGTGACCTGTAACATGTTAAAAAGGGATTTTATAATTTACTATACCCGATCATGCCAGGTTGATTTTGATAAAAATAAGGACATTTTTGAATTGCTGTTGACAGATGACAAATTAAAATTTTTTCTAGACAGCTCAATTTTAATGTAGTTAGTTGTATTCTATTACTATTTCTATTATCATATATTCTGACACAGGATGTGGACTGGTTCCAACTACACGAGGTGCGTGGGCGTAATGTCCAGTTGTCATCTGGTCGTCTCACAGCCAAGAGAGTGGGCAGTTATAATCAAGGGGTTGTCCTCACCAACCGCGAGATACTCAAAGGGCAGCTGTTCCAGGTAAATAAAAAGAAAATTCTTTATTTTGTCAGACACAATCAAGAATTTGTCCGAGAATTGTCCTTAATTTTTATACCAAGGCTGGAACAAACCTTAACATACTAAGTTACAAAAAAAATGTACTTTATTTTAATTATTTGATGTTAAGACAGATCAGCTCTAACTTTATGTGGACACACAGGTTAGGATAGATGCTGTCAACCCCAGTTGGGTGTCTTCCCTGTGTATTGGGTTGACAACACACCCTGTCAACAGCTGTTCTCTGCCTGTCACTGCCCTCGGACTGAAGGGTGACTCTTGGATCATCTGTAGTGACTTTGTCTTCCACAACGGACAAAAGGTAGGTAATGAGTCAAGAGTCAAGAGTCAAGAGATTTATTGGTCTAAGAACACAAAATTTACAGTGCATACGACCTTGTCAAGTACAATTATTAAAATAATAAAATTAAATATCACAGATTTAGCCTATATGAATAACAATAACACAGCTACCTACAAAAACGATTAACAGTATCACAGATTCAAACATCTTTCATAATACTCTTTCATAATAATGTTTGGTCTTCATCACACTGTGGTTCGATCTTACTTTCACATAAGATATATTTTATTGACAACAGATACATGTTTGTCAGAATATTTACTACTGCACAACCCTAAAATTTATGAGCAACTTTAAAAGAATGTTGCTTTAATCTTTGGAAGAAAGTTAATGAGGATTTTGGGATATGAATCAGTTACTATAACACAAATTATGTGGTTTTGTAACCATAACGAATTGTGGATATTTACAGGCATGCACTGTAGATGCGATGCTCCCTGGTGTGGATTAACGTCCACACTAGTGAGTACTACGACTATCCGCAGTACTATCCTGATCATTAGACCAATTTGTTAATTTTAAGGAAAAAATGTGGTTAGGATTTCACTATAAACTGTAGGTCCCTTAGTTGCCATTGGCTGTATGGGCTATTAATGAACAGCTTTGTCTAAGGAATATGTCGGCGCCACTCATCTTTCACTCATATTTGGGTTCAAAAACGCACATAGTGGCATCCCCATCTTAAATAATTGATTGATTGATCAATACAAAGCAAAGATCGAAGGCCACAATTTATGGGGAAATATTGACTGACAATATCTTCTGAGGCTATGGCAAAATCGTTCCAGCCATGTGTTTGCTGTAAACTTATGTAGAGAACTTTCTTTGACAGCAAAAATTTAAGATTGGCTCAAAAGTCAAGCCACTTGCACACCTCTATGACCACTTTCTAAGAAGTAATGACTCAACTTGAGCTTGGCCCAAAATTTATTCCCTGCCTGAACCGATCTTTCGACTTTCGAGTCTACTGTTGGCTTGACACAAAAATATCGGGGACCTGCAGACTCATAATTTAGATTTGAACTATGTGATAATGATAGAATTGATCAAGCACAAATTATGTTTTATTACAGATAAAGACCAAGTTTGGGGCCAACCTGGACACCCTGGGAGTTGGAAGAATGGTTGGAGTTTTGGTTGACTCATCAGCACAGTTACATCTGTATGTAGATGGAGTAGACCAAGGAGTAGCAGCCACTGGTATACCACCTTGCTGTAGAGTGGTGCTAGATATATACGGCAGATGTGAGCAGGTAAGGTTAAGAACGCCGTTGAAGTTTGAACATATGTAATGAGTTTTAGTCGATTATATCTTATTCTGTAGCGAGGCTATTTGGTTTACTCTAAAACCCAAATATTTCAGATCATGGTGTAAAAAATGGACCAGCTGTCCGTGATCATAGCAACCCTGGCTTAAGAGACAGCTGGTCTTTAATAGCAAGAAAGCTACATAAGGCATCTTAGTCCTTTACTCTCATTCTATTATAATTCAAATCTGCAGCTTAGTGTTTCTGTCCTGAGTTATTTTTGAATTGACGATACAAAAAAAATAATGTTGTTAATTTTGTCTAAATAAAAAATAAATTGTTGTTCAAAGGTTTAATGCAGACATTTTCTATCATAATGGTAAAAAAATGTGATTGAAAATGTCCGCAATAAACCTTTAAACAACATTAACATCACCAACAGAAACAATTAACTTAAAACAAAGAAAAAATAAGTTATTTTTCCTCCTATTTTTTTAGTCTTTAACCAAGTAAATGTAGTCTTTAATCGTAGCTTCTGTACGAGAACTAAAGATATTGTAGACTAACTTGCATGCCTACAGAAATGTGTGAGTTTTTTAAATTTTTTACAGGTGACAGTAGTTAATCCATACGAAGACAACGCTTCCGCCCCTAGCCTCCATGAAGAATTACAAGCATCCATCCAGCAAGAAAACTCCTTCGAGGAAGACAACATAGAAGAATGTATAGAACAAGTGGATTTCACAGCCCATGAAAAAGCCGACCTTGAAAGTCACGAGAAGGAAAAAGAGTGCCTTGTTCTTGTCATGGACGAAACGTCGAGGTCCAAGATAGACAAGACGAACGAAAACATCCAGTCTAGCAGCATGGGACACACAACACCGAGTGAGGGCTCGCCACTCTCTGATATTGAATTGGATCCAAAGTCCATTGCTTCTAATGAAAATCTGACATTGCAACAGTTTGAACAGCAACAAAACGCAGAAATCTCAAGGCACATAGCACAAACCAACTGCGACCACAAGACTGGGTGTGATCTGGCGAACACTTCGTACGTCAAGTCTCCGATGACGAGTGGTCCGATGAAGCCGTTGGTGTTGAGGTCGCTGGAGAACAGCCTTCACTCCAACATCACTCCTCTCATATCCCCCTCCACTGGCATCTCAGCACCTCTCAAACCCAACATTGACTGTGAATACTTCAACGATTGCCTTAGACTGAAGGACACCTTGGGACTTCCAGGTAATGCCTTCCAATAAATGTAGTTTTACTGTCTCTGCTTAGGGAAAATTTTTTGTTTCAATAATTTCACCTATCTATTTATTTCTAATTGTTCATAAACAACTATAAAGATTTCTTGGCATTTACTAATTAAACCAGTTTTTTCCAAAACAATTATAACTAACTGTAAACATTGTTTTATGGTTTAAAGTTTCAACTCGTGAGCTTTAGGTAATAAATTATTTCTCACCAAACTCTTTATCCATTTTAAATAACCATTTTATATCATGATGTAAAAATGAATAATCATGAAAAGCTAATTAATAATTTTTTAAACACAAAAATCATCTACCAAATTTACCTTGGAGCTCATTTTTTCTTACTTACAAGAGTCCTTATTTTGGAAAACACATGGTACACAACTAAGTGTTCTCTTTTGTTGCTATATTCCACAATTGTTTTGTCCGCAGGTGGTTTCTTCAGCAGAGACATCCACGCGTCTTGCTACTGTGACAGTTGTCACTCTCAGTCGAGTCACCAGAGCAAAGGAGATCCTCCAGCTTTGTACTCGATCCCATCCCAGTGGTCCAGACTGCCTCTGAGACGCAAGCAACGGACCACCGTAGAAATCGACCAATGGCACGTCGCCTTTGTAGGAACCTCACTGGGCGCTATCCGTAGGATACTGGACCTGGGCGAACTGTTGACTCCTGGTTGGTAAAACATTTAGCTTAGGTACATTGGAAGTAGGGATGCTGTGCTTATTTTAAGGCAAAGACAAAAGTGTAGAATGGGTGTTGATAGGAGGAGCTGTTAGCTTTGATTCTAAGATGGGCTGGTTCTTTGACCATTTATTAAAAGCCCAATGATCAATATAGAGCTGGAACCAGTTCAGAACTCTCTTAAAACTGACTTTTCCCAGGATCCTACCGACCACTAGGTGAGCAACTACTAGGCTACCTAGCCGTATACATCTCAAGGCAGTTGTTAGAACCCCAAAAGTTTACCACACAATTGAATGCTAATTTTGTTTCTTTTCTGCTATTTTTTTTTTAAGACGGCTTGTAGGGATGAAAATCATATAAATTATGTGTTAAAAACTATTTTCTTGGGTTAATTGATTGTGTATCTATTCCTTCATTGATGTAAAAGTGATTATGTCCAGTTATCATCGTGTTTATGTTTTCCACAGCTAAATACCTGTAAAATGTATGTTATTAGACAATCTTGTGCAATGAGTAAAGTTATTTAGTGAGCCTACCTTCTCTATATTCTCATTTTGAAGTGTGGACAAGTAAACTCTCTTTGTTCCACATTTAAAAGGTAAACACTTACAAATTTTACTAGAATCAGTTTAGCGGACTTTCTATCAATTCGTGGCTTGCAAGACCAAAGGACGTAATTTATGTACTTATGGCCCTTTATCTTGCAAGCGGCGTATTGTTTGTGCATCCATTACTCAGGTTGTTTTGTCTGTTAGTTATGTATGCCACTCATGTTGTTCCTGATATTTCAGAACAACTGAGTCTCAACCAAGAGTGCAGTCAGAAGTCCAAGCACGACCACTCGGACACCAGACAACTAGTGCTCAGTCCCACCATCAAGTATGCAGCTTGTGCAGCCTTTACTCAGGTTGTTTTGTCTGTTAGTTATGTATGCCACTCATGTTGTTCCTGATATTTCAGAACAACTGAGTCTCAACCAAGAGTGCAGTCAGAAGTCCAAGCACGACCACTCGGACACCAGACAACTAGTGCTCAGTCCCACCATCAAGTATGCAGCTTGTGCAGCCTTTACTCAGGTTGTTTTGATATGTTAGTTATGTATGCCACTCATGTTGTTCCTGATATTTCAGAACAACTGAGTCTCAACCAAGAGTGCAGTCAGAAGTCCAAGCACGACCACTCGGACACCAGACAACTAGTGCTCAGTCCCACCATCAAGTATGCAGCTTGTGCAGCCTTTTCTCCCAAGCACGAGTGAGTCTTTTCAGGGTTTCACTATGATTATGATTTACTGATTATGATCCAAACCATAAAATCCTCAATATTTGGTTTTTCACAGGTCAATAGAAAAACTTGTTTTTCATACCATTAATTGTACAGACATGGTTTTAGCAAATTTCCCCTATAGGGGAGAAGCTCAACAATATTTGTGCCAACTAATGTTGCCTTTGGAATATAGGAGATTGACAATTAATTAACAATGTGGTATATTACTTTAAACTGTATCAACAGTAAAAATAAACTTTGGCCATGTGTATTAATTAGTAGGTCCCGATTGGCTACTGGTATAGATAGCTGTCAGAGTTTTCATTTCATCAACACAAGCCAAATGTCAGGGGGTTTTCTAAAGTCAGTTTTTAAATTTTGCTTTTTTACTCTTATCTCAAATCCAAGTTGAGTTTTTGGCCTTGCCAACAAGTTTCCTCCAGACTCCTCTGTCTCCAAAATAACCTCCCCCTAATTCTCAATTTTTAATATCATTGTTGATTTTTGCTTTTAAATTAGCATACCAAACAATTTATCCAGCTGTTTATGTAGCACATAATTATGAATCTAACTTAATTATCCAAAAATATCCTATAGGCCTACTCCAATCACGCTATGTCCGTTTGTCTGTCTGTAATATATATTGAAATCCAGCAGAAAGATTTTGAATGAATTTTGGAATTAGGGACTTATAGCCCTAAAAACGTGATTGGCGACAGTCACTACCTCGGGAAAAATTTGTATTTCGCTACACAAATTATTTAAAAATTTTAAATTTGGCCTTATGGGTTTAATCAAGGCCCCACTAGAAAAAACAGGCCATGCTGCAGGGTCCATGAAGTCACACTAGTGGATGGATTTCATTGATAAATTCATTGCCATTGCCATTCCCATATGTTTTAGGTAAATAAACAAGCTGTATGTAAGATTTTAATGGTAAGAGTTTAGTACAACTATCCACCACTGTGACGTAGTGTTGCGCTGTCTGTGCTGCAGCATGGCCTGTTTTTCTAGTGGAGCCCATCGATCTCTATTATTACTACAAGTGGATCGCACGCTGTGTGCTGGGTTTTTGGTCCGACCGCTCGCCGCTCCCCCCACCACTAAGGTATTCACTGTCTCTCTCTTACTCATTACGTCTTATGGCGTTTCCGCTCACAAAATACGCTATATCTCTGTACATAATGGCTCGATTGTCAATTTGTTTACACAATTGTAATCTGCATGAAATTGCGGATATTATGGTATATGTTTTATATTAAAATAATTCTTTTTTAGATTATATTAATTCTAAAATCGCCCCCTTCCTATTCCAATACATACGGGATCATAGTAACTACAACGCGTCTCTTTGTTCTTACACTTGCATTGAAATCACGTGATTCGCCGTTAGATCAGCCTAAAAGGCCGAAAAGAACTAGGGAAACTGTTTCACCTTGACCTAAATACAAAAGCAAAAAAACAACTAAATATTACACTTGATTTAGGGACGGTGACACGCTACATTTCTATGATTCAAAATCAATAGCTCCAGTATTGTTCATGATTTTTATGTTTGGACTCAAAATAATCAGTAACGTATAGGCTTTAATTTGATTTAATGATCGTTTGAATCAGTTAAGCTCAAGTACTCAATCAAAAATCATATATTTGATTTTATTGGATAATATATTTATTTTAAAGCTGCGGATCAGCATGGGTCCTCTCCTACATGTTAAATGCATAAAAAACACAAGATTAAACATTAAAAACATAAGTGTGTATGCTAAATTAAGTTAATTAATCATTAGCAATGATAACAGCTTTATAATTAATTTAAAAAGTGGCAATAACAAACCGTATTTAGTAGTTTTAAGAATTAATATAATCTAAAAAAGAATTATTTTGATATAAAACATATAGGCCTACCATAATCTCCGTAATTTCATGCAGATTACAACTGTGTAAACAAATTGACAATCGAGCCACTATGAACAGAGATATAGCGTATTTTGTGAGCACAAACGCGGAAACGCCATAAGACGTAATGAGTAAGAGAGAGACAGTGAATACCTTAGTGGTGGGGGGAGCGGCGGACCGATACGTGTGTATCTCTGAGCAGTACAACGCGCGATCCAGTTGTAATAATAGAGATCGATGGTGGAGCCTTGGTTTAATGTTGGTTGAACAAAATAACAAGGAAAATGCAAACAAAAGAACTTGTAATTTGTGTTTATAACACGCCGTCTGCAGTATGCTATCAAATTAAATTACAATATACAGTACAAAGGGAAAAACATCTGTTGTTACTAATAAGCAAAGATTATACTGAAGATTACTTGATATATGTGAAAATAGCTTTATCAAATACTGATTATTTTAATTGGCTCTCTCTTATCAAAACTTAATCTCTGAAGTACTGTGGCAATTGTTGGCAATCTTTGGTTTAGTGGTGAAATGAATATTTAATAACATTATATTTTATTTTATGTACATTAGAGTTTCAGCAAAAATTTTCAATCAGCAGTTTTAATTAAAACAAACTGTCAAAATATTGTTTACCCAAGTATATGCTATTATTGTTGTTCAAAGGTTTATTGCAGACATTTTCCAACACGATTGTAAAAAAACAATGCACAACGTTATAGGCTATTAGTTTTAGTTATATTAAAAAAGAGTGATTTTTACCATCAACTGTAAAATACATTAACGTGTTGTGGATTGCCAGGTTTAAATTGACATCATAATAAATTGAGATTCTACTGAAGCTTCAATATTAAAAGCCAAAATTCGTTGTATATAAGGCGTGAGTTTTCTTTGTATTACTTTTACAAAAATTAAACTATACCGAGCCATGGCTTGGTTCCCCGGTACTTCTGTTTAAAACACACAGTTTATGACAATCCATAGTGCATAGTAAACGTGGTACAAGTATGTCTAGTGATCTACAGCAAAGATTACAAATCAAAAATCAAGTGAGTAATGATGGTTGTGCAGGTACATTGACCCCAAGACCAAGAAGCGTATGGTGGCATACGCAGCGTTCCAAGTGTTAGTACGACCCGGCTCTTACAAGGTCGGCCCTCCCTCAATCCCTCACATCACCAAACCCCTCGACCCTCCACTCGACCACAACTCGACCGAGTGGGTCACCAAAGAACGAAACTCTACCGTCCTCACCGCTCTGTTACTCAAGCTTGAACAAGCTTAGAAATTTATATTCTTTACTCTGTGAGCAAAAGCTTTAAACATCAAATGCATAAATTTTTATATGAAAATAATGACCAATGTTTAATTATGTTTTGAATATCTGTGATTTTTTACTCGTTTTTGAATCTTGTATTTGGTTTTGTTGTATTTATTTTATATGTACAAAGTTGATTTGTCTATGTGTTTATGGCTCAGAATTTGAAGAGCGTTTATGTTACCTGTAGGCTAGTAGTTGTGTAAATAGTGATGACTTAGTTTTTAATGGTTTTTTTAGAATGTTTTTTGGTTTCGTTGATTCAAAAAGTGCATTAATAAGTAGCCTAATACTTGTCATGAGAAAATTAGGTTTAATTATGTTATGAACTCAATTGTTTGTAGTTCCATGTATAAGAGTCGTACATAACCGCTTTTATTGCTAAATATTCAGATAATAATGCCTGGTGCAACAATACAACATATTTTTGTATGTTGCTTAAAATCATTTGTTAAAAAAAGTGTGTAGTGTAATATTATTACTTAACTTATAACTACTGTAACTAAAACAACCAGTCACATTTCAACATGAAATCACAAAATTGAGATGTGACTTTGATCTCAATAGTCAACTGCTACACTTTAGTTACTGTAGATTGTACTAAGCAAAACAAGTGTAGAAATAGCTAAATTTTATTTTACAAGGAAGGCTATACTTTTCATCAAAACATGTATCAGTGGCTTTCGATGCTGAAGTAGATATCCTTTATAGCCAGTTTTTTATTCTAAGAGAACATAGTCTAATGAACATAGAGTGGACTTTTATTGAAGTTTTTTTTATATTTTAATTTGTCATACTTTGATTGTTGGTGGGAACTTGCTAAGTCGCCCCTTCAGTTTTTAATGATTAAAATGTTGATTTATGAGAAAAATTTCATTTCAAACCAATCTGCAGCCCAAAATTGAACCAAATAATTATTGGTTATAAAACTGGATTCAGCCTGTGATGGAACAAAATCCTCATGTTACATGCTAAAGCTTGTATTATCAAAATTTGACCTGCAAAAATGTAACAGTTGTAAATAGTTATTTGTGTAACTAGTGCGCAAAGTAGCACTTTGCTGCACATGAGAGAAATGTTTATCGAGTACAGCAAAGGCACTTTGCGCTTGCGTTACACATTATATTTTTCCTACAGTTACTGTAAAGCATTATAAATAATTAGTCTTTCAAACACTAAATAACACGTTTTAGGTTAAATCCAACTGTTGAATGAAAATAGAATGGTTAATACGGAACAACAGGTTAAGTCGTAGTATCAATAGTCAAAGGCTGGGAAACGCTGCACCGGCTGATTGTAGTCGTAGTAGCTTTTAAGTGTTGCCAACTTATTTTCAAGTACACTTATTATGACGTGCCTAATAAAAGCACACTGTTTTGTGTTGTTTGGTTGGAATACTGGAGAGCAAAGTACAATGAATGCGGCAAAAGTAAGTAAATGCAGCAATTATCTACTTTGTGTGCTATGAACAGTGCAAGGAAACCCACTTAGTCAGGTAACTGTAGGAAAAAATTTTATCCCAATTAATCTATTATTTTGCC